TGTCAAGCCTAAATTGGGAGAACCTAATCTGGAACAAGCCTAGGCAAAGTCTTGCTGCCCTATAGACCGCTGACTCAGGCCATTCGGCCCATTTACTAAGCCCAGATGCGTACAATCTCATTCAGGCCCAGTGGGAACGTCAACAGCCCGAGGAGCTAAGATTGAACTTCAAGTCCATTTACCGAATCATTTGGATCAGCCCACACGTAACCCAATCTCAATTAAAGGTAGACCAGTCTTGCTAGACAAAGGATTTAGCAAAGAAAACAAGTTCTGTGCAAGGAAAGTTTTGTATGGAAAAAATAGTAAAAAGGAAATGATTATAATTGTAAAGAATGTCATATATGGAATTGATTGGAGGACAACCCATGCGAGTCTTATCATAATTCCACCACCTTGTTTCTTATAAATAGAGGCCTAGACCTCTAATAAAAGTATTGAGCATTATACGCTTATCTCTAAGTATTATATTTGTTTATTTTGAGTGAGTTGTATTTTTCTTTTTGTTTATTTTAATAGAGAGAAATTTTGCACCTACACCCCTTGTCCGAGCGTAATGAGGGTGTTGCGATTTCAGGTTCAGGTAAGAGAGAATGTTATAAGTGGGACTTATCCCACATCGAATCCAAATGAAAAAGTGAAAAAGTATACATGGATTGCGTGCTTAAGATTTTGGGTCGGATTTTTAATATTCCAAGTTTGATCAAATGTAAGATAATATACTTAAATTAAGTCATACAGTATATTATTTTATTTAATGATATTTTTAATGTTTATATTGGATTTTAGGACTGACGTTATCTTCATCACCATTTTTGTAGTTGGCATCGATAGTCTTTGAATCAAAATAATTCATAAATACATGTTTCTTTTGTTTTATTTTAGGGATAAGTGCATAAAACATTTCTAAAATATACTTCGTGTAGTATTTTTATCCTTATATGAAAAAATATGCAAAAAAATCCCTAATTTTTTTACATTGTCTAAAAATCCTCCTCAATCACAAATCTAACATAACTTAGTATTGTAATACTTGTTTTGCCCTTTTATTCTTCCGAAAACGCCCAAGGGATAGATATGCTACAAATCTCATAGTATAAGGATGTTAACTGCACATTAGCTTATTTATTTTGAAACTTTTTTCTCTATATATATCTCTAAACTTTTATTTTTGAAACTTTGAGAATTTGTAGAACAAGAATTTGAATTTTTCAAGATGTCAATTTACTGTTTTCAACTAATTTTTTTTCTTTCTTTATTATTTTTTTTCGTACCAACCCAAAAAAAAAAAAGGAAAAAAATCCCAATATCACTGTGCACGGATTTTTTTTCTTTAGTTTGCACTTTATTTTCTTTTTATTTTCTATTTTTATCTTTACTTTTATATACATTTTTTTTATTTTCTATTTATATCTTGTCCATTGCCCGAGTCTTCCAATAGTATATTTTTCAGTTATTTTACAAAATTATTTATTTTTATATATTTTATAAAATGGTTGAGTAAGGGTAATTTAATTAATTAAGGTTTAAATTTGTCAGAGGGACTTATTTGCACCAAATTGAAACTTTAGGGGTGTTCTTTTGCACGTGAGGGACATCATCCAATAGTGTTTTTTCCGTCTATTTTACAAAATTATTTTTATACATTTATAAAATGATTTAATAAGGGTAATTTAGTCAACTTAGGGTTTAAATTTGTCAGAAAGACCAATTTGCACCAAATTAAAACTTCATGAATGTTTTTTGCATATGAAGGGTATGATATGCACTATAAGCATACTTTAGAAGTATTTTCTGCGCTTGATCCATAAGAAAAACTTAGCTGGAATGGGTTTATTTAAGTTTTGAGTTTTATGAGTGTGTTTGGTCCAGTTGTATAGTTTTCTGAAAGTAAAAAATTGAGTTAAAATTGATATCTATGTTTGGTTCAATTGTAGAGTTTTCTGAAAGTAGAAAATTGAGTTAAAATTGACATCTAGAGAATTAGAAAATAAAAAGTACTGCAGAATTTCATTTAGTTGCCAGATGTGAAATACTTTTGAAAGTTGAGACAAAAAGTGTCTGTTTTCAACTAATAGTCCTTTATAGGTCTTGAAATACTTGTTATCAGAATTAAAACAAGTTTTAGATAGTTGGAACAAGAAAAACAAAAATAAGTTTAATTTAAGCAAACATTATTTTAGTTAATGAGTATATTATTTGGAATATATATATATATATATATATATATATATATATATATATATATATATATATATCGGTATTTTGCAAAGTTCTAGATTAAGGATGAGATCGAGTCGGCCAGGCGTATAAAATAACTTGTCAAAATTTAATAACTATATTATTTTAGTTAGTTTTCAATATATATATATATATATATATTTATATAAATATTTTATGACAACCAAACTTTAAAAAATAAAAAAATATTTTACATCCAAACAAATTCGTGATGGAGCCCACGCAGAAAATCAATTATAGTAATCCCAACACTCAGGATGACAATCAGTACTGGAGTATATATTTTATGAAAGACCAACAGCAAGTAAGTTTCAAAAGACAGTTGACCCAACCAATGAGTTCCCAGAAAACAAAAGGTTTTAATTTCCCTTTTTTCGACAATAATAGTTAGTCCCACTCTTTTATCTACACTTTTGATGGCTCAAACCAAGAGGGCTAGTGTTTGGACCAGTCTATTGAAGAACTAGATTGTCCAAAGTCCAATAAGAAAACTAGTTTGCTTATATGAAGAGTTGTACCTTATCACTTATCATTTTCATGATTAATCCTATTCATCACCATCTATTTGAGAATCACTGTGTCACCTTGTAACTTATTTGTAGGTTTTGCAACCACATATTGCTACCAAAGGGCTGTGACTTCGTTGTCAATAAAAAAGTAAGAAGTTTCTTGGTTCATGCCTCGTGACTAACTTACTTTGAGATTTAATGCCCCCATTTTTCTGTTCTGTGGATCAGTGAAGTTTCCACTCGGAAGGAACTTAAGTGGTGTGTTGTTTGAGTGATTAAGTTGTTTTTTGTATTTGAAATTTCTGTTCGAACTTTACATTCTCTTTTTCTGCTTTAACTATTATCATTCTTGTCATGAAAATAATAATAATATTCAAAACCAGTGTGATCACACTAAAGGATTTGTGTCCAGAGAGTTAAAGCTGTTTCGATGGATATATAAAATAATTTTTCACAATAAAAAAAATTAGTAATAAGTTCTCTTTGGCAATCAGTTTTTGTTTTCGTGTTTTTCTTACTGTGTTGGTGAAAAACATTATGGAGTGGCCAAAACATATGTTTGTAACATTTGAACAGTTTTTGCACAGTACCTCGTTCATTTAAGAAAAAGGTCCAAATCTAAAAGTAAGAAAAATATGTTTTTACTTGTTTTTGTTCTTCTAGCGGAATAATTGTAGAGAGATTTTTGTAAAAAAACTATTAGTATAATGTAATCAATTTTTATTTTTATTTCATTTTTTGCTTTGAAATATTGTGCAACAAAAGCAATTTTTACTTGTTTTAGCTATCGTAACTGAACAATTGTAGAGAATTTATTTTAGAAAAAAGCCATTATAACGTAAATACTATGTTTTTTACCGTCATTCAACAAAATTTTCTTTTACTTTGAAACATTATGCACCAATACATTGTTTTTGTTTCAAATTAAAATAAAAAATACAAAACAAAAAATAGTTGTCAAAACGCTTCAAGTTTGTCTAAAAATACTGCAACATAAACTCGTTAAGTTTGTTTAAAACTTACTGAATTAATCTACACAAGTGCAAAGGTGACCCAATAGTTAAGAAACCATAAATTTGTGTTTCAAAATATACTTGAGTTTAAATGAAAGTATAGTTTACTTATCAAAGTGAAAGAATTTTCCTTTCCAAGAAGAGAAAAATGGAGATTTGGATGGATTTTTCCTTTAAAAAAAACAGAGTTTTGGATGAATTTAAAAAGAAAAGAACTCGACTGATTTTGGGTTGGTTAAAAAATTGGACATTAGAGCTCCGTTTGTTTAGATGTAAAATATTTTATAAAAAATATTTATTTATTTTCTGATATTTGGTTGTACTAAAATATTTACGAAGAAAAAAAATATTAAAATTTTACAAAAATAATTTATCTATTAATTTTTGATAAGTTATTTTATACATCGCTCTTGAAAGACTTGATTTAGACGGAACATTAAAAAGTACAAGTAAAAAAATATTTTACCTAAAAAGTGAAAATATTTTTTAAAAATAATATTTTAGATGGAAAAAAATGGAGACAAGTGGTAAAAGTTTTCAAACAGAGTAAAAGAGAAAGAAAGTTTCCCTTAATCCACGTGGAGAATTCTTATTGGATTTTGTATAAATTTTCCATGTTACGCAAGCATCCTAACAATACCCTTTTTGTTTTTTATTGACTACGTCACTCTAATAGTTAACGAGCTTTATGAGGATCGATAACGACACCTGCTAGTTCGCGTAAACACCACACACTCGGTTCCTTCACCTGATTCGAGGGGCAATGTCGTAATTAACTACCCAACACGAGCACGTGTCGTCATGACAGAGCGCGTGAATGCCCACACCAACTCTAGCGACTACTCCTACCATACCCTTAATGGCGCGTCATTACTTTCTTGTTTTGAATACATCTGTGGTACTTCCGTAATTTACTGAATTATCAAGGGCAGTTCACGAACTCACCAAACGAAAAAGCAGAAATTAACCTTTATAGCAAAATTGGATATGCAATACCAAGTTGCGTAAACGTCGAACGTTTCTCAAACTTCCTCCTATCTTCAATCGTCCACGTAGCACCATCAGAGAGATCTCACCGTGATAAGGAACCTAATGGGTCGTTCTTTATCTCGTACGGTTAGGTTTCCAACCCCTAAGAATCAATCTCGACCGTTGAAATGTAAATCCAACGGTCTTGGTCATCCTAAGTACTTCTGAAACTATTATTTTTTATTTTTATTTGGTACATTTTCTTTTTCACATATCAAGACACTTTACTCTTGTGAGCCCAAAGAAACCCTAGGTCCTCCCTCTCTCTCTCCTCTCTCTCTCATGTGGTAAAAAAAACCAAAAAAAAAAAATCAAATTTCAAAAAATCGAAAATTGTTAGAAAAATCGACAAATCAATTAGGGTTTCAAATCGGACTTTCTCATATTCTCAGATTCAAACCCTAAGTCGATGCTCCATGCGTTGGATCTTCGCGATTCGTTTGGTACGTCCACATTTGATGTTCTCTGACGCAGGTATTTATGTGCATGCATATTTGTTATGTTTTGTATTCATTTTTTATGACTTTGATCGTTTTTGTTTTAGAAATGACTTAGTTTTTGTGTAAAATTTGGGTTAGTTTGTGAGCAATGGTTTGAATTTGTGGTTGTTATGGAAGTTTTGTTGATTTTTTATGTTAATTTGTGGTTACAGATCTGGAAATTTGGGTATGAATACGTATGATGGGATTTAAAAATTGGGGAATTCTGGTTGGGGTGTTTGGATTGAGGGATTGTTGATGGAAAATAGCGTAGGAAAGTCTGGTGGTACGGAGATTTCAAAGAAAGCTAGATCTTTGGACGTTCAGAGTCTGTATAGAGCCAGGGTTCCGCAGGTGGGGCATAGTAAGAAGAATAGTGGTGTGGAGGGTAATGGTGATGTTAGGAAGAAGGAGAAGAAGAGCAGGAAAGAAGTTTCTCTGAGTAGTTTTGAGTCGGTGAGAAAGAAGAGTAGGAAGAGTTTGGTTGGTGATTATGTCGATGGGGTGAGTTCTGGCTCAGGAAATTCAGACGAGTCACAGTCGGGTTCGAGTCAGAAATTGAATAGAAGTAGTGAATTGAACAATGTTTCTCTTAATTTGGATGGAAATGGTAATTTCATTCGCATCCCAAAACGTCGTCGTGGTTTTGTGCGCAGAAAGAAATTTGAAACCAGTCAAGTTTTGAAGCAATCAGGATTGTCAAGAAGTAAAACTGGTGGTTCTGTTGATCAGATCACCAAATTAAATGGCAAGCACAAGAAATTTGAGGGCAATCAAATTTCTAAGACGCCAAGGCCCTCTGGTAGCAAAGCCAATTCAGTTTTTCAGGTAGTTAAGTTAAATGGTGATTCTGCTGTTAATGCTGGTACTCCCAAGGTTAAGCGGAAGACCACATTTAATGATTCCAATGGAAATAGGAACAGTAGGGGAAATATATCTCGGCACGTGAAGGAGAAAGATGGTCATTTGGTTGTAAATAGTGGTGATTCATCTTCTAGAAAGCGGCGGAGCAATCATAGGAAAAGGAAGGATTTAGCATCGGGCAGTGAAAATATTGTTGAGAAAATTGAGCCTTCAGTTGATAATTTGATCAAGATTTCTGATGATTTCCACGACGAGGATGAGGAGAACCTTGAGCAGAATGCAGCAAGGATGCTCTCATCTCGATTTGATCCTAGCTGCACTGGATTTTCTTCGAAAAGCAGATCATCTGCATCACCATCTGCAAGTGGGTTGTCTTTTCTGCTTCCTTTTAGTCATGATTTTGATAATCAAGGGGCAGACTCCTTAGCTGGCTTGGAGTCGGCATTGGCTGATAGTGCTAGCAGAGTTTTACGACCGAGAAAACAGAGCAAAGAGAAGGGCCACTCAAGGAAACGACGTCATTTCTATGAAATTCTTTCCAGGGACCTGGATGCATACTGGGTTTTGAACCGGAGGATCAAAGTTTTCTGGCCGTTGGATGAGAGTTGGTATTATGGCCTTGTAAATGATTATGACCCCGAAAGAGAGCTTCATCATATTAAGTATGATGATCGAGATGAAGAATGGATTAACCTTCATAATGAGAGATTCAAACTTTTGCTTCTCCCTAGTGAAGTTCCTGGTAAGGAAGAGCCAAAGAGATCTGATTTGGGGAATGTACATGCAGACAGTAGAGAAAGGGACTTGAATATGGACTGTGATAACTATACAGGCAGCTACATGGACTCGGAGCCCATCATCTCATGGTTGGCTCGTTCTTCTCATCGGGTCAAATCTTCTCCTTTTGGAGTTTTGAAAAAACAGAAAACATCCCATCTCTCTCCAAATTTTGTGCCACCATTGACTGACAGAGTTGATGATGCTCATGGGGGTTTGGATGTCGGTTCCTCAGAAAATGATAAAAACAAACCATCTTGTCTTCCCGCGTTGCCTGACAGAACAACTGATATTTGTAGGGATGAGAAGTCCTCGTTGAAATGCACTACAAGCTCCACAAATAACAAACAACCTGTTGTTTATTTCAGGAAGCGGTTCCGCAGGAGAGATGAAGGATTGGGTCACTTGCCTGAGGACAACAACGCGTGTGGAAGTGCACCTGAAACTTCTCTTGCTCCTGTTATTGAAAACTACTTGGACTCAGTTCAAAGTTCAGGGTTGTTAAAACTAACTCTTCCATTTATAGAATCAAAAGAATTCAGGTTTGACTTGCACTTCTCAGCACTTGCTGTCCTGAAGTACACGTTTGGAGCAGAGAACTTTTGGTTGTATCGCACTGTATTGCTACTTCAGTATGGTACTATTATGACTACATGGCCTGTAGTTCATTTGGAGATGCTCTTTATTGATAACATTGTCGGGTTGAGGTTTCTCTTGTTTGAAGGTTGCTTGAAGCAGGCTGTGGCCTTAGTTTTTCTAATCCTGACAGTATTTCATCAACCTAATGAACAGGAGAAGTATGCTGGCCTGCAATTGCCAGCAACTTCAATCAGGTTCAAACTTTCTTGCAGTCGAGATCTTAGAAAGCAGCATGTATTTGCATTCTACAGCTTCTCCAAAGTGAAAAATTGGAAGTGGTTGTACCTGGATCACAAGCTTCAGCGACATTGTATGCTCACAAGACAATTACCTCTTTCTGAATGCACATATGATAACATTAAGGCACTGGAAGGTGGATGTAATCGGTTAAACATTAGTTCTGTTGGTGGGGAGTATTCCTTATGTGAGGTATTCCTTTCTTTCTTTTTCTCTCTCTTTATTTTTTTTTTCTTTATTTATTTTGGAATAAAATTTTGAATTTTTTTAGAATGTATAAAAAATTGTTTTGATGGTGATCCTTGGCATGTGATTCTATTTTTTTCACAGCTCTTCCACCAGCCTTGAGTTTGAGCTTTGTGCTTTCTGTTCCTAATTTTTCTTTTTATTTGTGTGCATAAATATATACCTTCTCTAGGAAAGTAATTGCAAAGCAAGAGAAGTTAATTAGACTCATTGTGGCATACGTTGGCAATGATTTTTTTTGAATGCACCCTAATTTAATATTGCTTCATTCTTGGATTAAATGGTACGAGTTTTCCATCAATCAGGGTTCACGAAGAAAGACTACAAGAGGTATCTTGCCCATTGGGGTTTCTAGCAATGCAAATATGAGCCAATCGTCTTCTAGTGTTGGTGTCAAGCATGGGAAACTTCTTCCATTTGCTCTTTCTTTTACTGCTGCACCTACTTTCTTTCTCAGCCTTCATCTCAAGCTGCTTATGGAAAATAGTGTGGCTTGCATCAGTCTTCATGACCATGATTCAATGTATTCACTTGAGCATTTCAAACACACTGGCAGACAAATTTTGGATGACTGCACTCTAGCTGAAGATTGTTCTGAGAATGCTTCAGAAATCACTCCTGGGAGTAATCTGGAAATTTCTTTGAGGCAAGCTGCTTCTTTTGCCAAACCACGGTTGGGGACTGATGCTATCTCTGTTTGCAATGATGGTGGTTGGGTACAATCATCTCAGAATTTCCAAGATGGCAGACTAAATGTTGCTGGAACTTCTGTCTGCTCCAAATTTCCTGGAGAAAATGCAGTTGACGTGGTTGTTGAATTGCCGAAGTGCGGATGCAATGATCTAGAGTCAGAAAAAGATCACGCCCCTCTAGGCCAGTCTGATTCCAGGTGTTTTTCTTGTTTGAATGGTCTGCGTGTTGAAATTCCATCATTTGATCAAGTTGAAAGGCCTGCTGATGGGAGAACGAATAGTGCTCAATTGTCTTCTGGTATGGGGTGTAATTTGAGTAATGGCGTTATTTGCAGCCCCAACCCCACTGGTCCTAGAACTATGTGGCATCGCAACAGAAATAGTGCTAGTTCTTCATCATGTGGAGATCTCTCACATGTATGGCTTGATGGTAAGGCCAACTTCATTCGTAATGGCTTTGGCAATGGGCCTAAGAAACCACGAACTCAGGTCCAATATGCATTGCCTTTTGGAGGTTTTGATTTTAGCGCAAAGAATAAAACTCATAATCAGAAAGGGGTTCCTTACAGGCGAATCAGGAGAGCCAATGAGCATAGGTCATTGGATGGCTCTAGAAGTTCTCAAAGAAACCTGGAGTTGTTAACTTGTGATGCAAACGTGTTGATCACACATGGTGATAGAGGGTGGAGAGAATGTGGGGCACGGGTTGTATTAGAACTTGCAGAACACAATGAGTGGAAGCTTGCTGTAGAACTATCTGGGACTACAAAATATTCATACAAAGCCACTCAGTTTTTGCAGCCTGGATCGTCAACGAACCGCTACACCCATGCTATGATGTGGAGAGGAGGCAAGGATTGGGTGTTGGAATTTCCTGACAGGGGCCAGTGGATGATTTTCAAGGAGATGCATGAAGAGTGCTACAACCGGAACATTCGCGCTGCTTCAGTTAAAAATATACCTATTCCTGGAGTTCGCCTTATAGAGGAAAGTGATGATAATGGAACAGAAGTACCATTTGTTCGCTCTTCCACCATGTACTTCCAGCAGGTTGAGACCGATGCTGAGATGGCTATGGATCCATTGCGAATTCTATATGACATGGATAGCGAGGATGAACAGTGGATTTTGGACAAAAAATCTTCAGATGCTGATGAGAGTAACTTCGAAGAGATTTCCGAAGACTTGTTTGAGAAGATGATGGACATGTTTGAGAAAGTTGCTCATGCTAAGCAATGTGATCATTTTACATCCGATGAATTAAAAGAGCTCATGGTTGGTGTTGGGCCCATGGAAGTAATCAAAGTCATCCATGAGCATTGGCAGCAGAAAAGGCGGAGGAAAGGGATGCCATTGATCCGGCAACTCCAGGTACTGTCTAATTTGCATGCCCATTCTATGACATTTATTTGCTGTAGTTTCTTGCTTTACATATTTTAGCAGACTGTAGCTACTTTGGATGGCACGTAATCCAGTTATAACAAGTACACTTGAGATGATTGAGTTGTTGACAATGCGAGACTATGATTGCACACTTTCTTCCATCTGAAATGCAATTTTCTTCTCCGTTGCACCTCACTTATTCTGATTGCAAAAGCTTATTAGGCTGATATTTATTTTTCCACTTTTAGTAATTATGTGGTCTAAGTTTTATAGGGAATTTTTTTATTTCTGTTTATACTTTTAATTGCTTGGTAGGATAACACTTGAACTGGACAGTGCTGCCTAATTGGATGTGGGCTGCGCTATGGTTTGGGACTAGAATAGCAAATTTTGGATTGAAAAATTGGGGGGTGCTTGTGTTAGAATGAAAGTGGAGAATAGGTACCAGATTGAGGCGATTTTAAGATTTTGGATAACAAAGGAATATGAAAATTTACCTTGGGTAGTATGATTCTACCGCATGCATTGTATAGTTGTTACCTTCAGTTGCCTATGTCATTATTATAAGCTTTCACTACTTGGTCAATCGTTGGAAGATTAAAAAATACTTCTTAATAATAAGCAATTATCATTGTTGTTGTGTGGTTTGTGTTGGGTGGAGGAAGCATGTAGGAGTTACAAGGCTAGATGTTGAGAATGGAAATACTGCATAACAAACAGAAGGTAGGTTTAGCCTAATTACCCGCGTGTGCTGAGTTTGGCGAAATTACTTTCAGTGTTTGTGAGCATCACCAGCTGAATTGAAATCTCTCTCTTATTGTCAATTTATTTTTAAGATTTCCTAGTGAGAACAAAAAATAGAAAAGGCAACATGATTCAAAAGTTATGGTACTTTTTCATTTTCTCCCTAACCGTCACCGATCTTTCTTCACTCCTCTCTCTCTTAACTCTGAAGCTCTTCTCGCTCTATACTTGAAGCATTCTTATTTCCTTCTTTTCCCTAATTCCCTCTCAATGGACGTGTAAAACTAGACCTAATTTTCTCTGTCCAAAAACACAAACACCAAAACACTTATCACTTCTTCTACCAGCTCCTAGAAGACGGTTGATCTATTGAAGTGTTTATGGTGATGAAAGATGGCTCACCACTTGCTGTGGGTTTTTTTGTCTGAATTATTCAGCCCCATTGACTTCCTCTTACTGCACATCTCTAATGTCGTCTGATAGCAGGGATGCTGGTTTTTTTTTATTTTTTGGTGTAATTTGGGACGCAGACAGGGAAATATTTGGCATTTTATCTTAGGCTTTACTTGTGGTCTTCTTATAGGGCTAAGGTTGTCTCAGATTTGATTATTGAGAGTTTGAGGGGAGGTTGAGAAGGTTTTTTTCTCGGAAAGGTTGGAGTCTTAGAGAATTTTTAAAAAGATTTTTAGGTGGATGGTTCAGGAGTAGTTAAAGAATTGTTTTGTTGGTTAGGACTTGGCCTGGTCTTCTTTGAAGGTGGTGGATTATGCATTGGAAAGCTACAGATCATGAATATAGCTCTTTTTGGAAAGTGGTTATTGAGGCATGCATTGGAGAAAGGATGTATGGTGCATTAGAAGGCTACCAATCAGGTCTTTGTAAGATTGGGGATCATTTGCTTTATTTTCTATTAGGTTGTATGGGGCTTCAGTCAGAGGGAAATGGGTTCACGATGTGGTTTCAGATGGGAGAATGCATGGAATTTTTAAGTGAAATGTTATTTGTTTCATCAAAAGGACAGAAAAGAGAGGATTTCCCTTGAACTGAAATTTGAGTTATTAATCTGCTTCTGATGTCACATATTTTATCATGACAGAAGATTTCTACTTGGTTCTGAAAAAACAGAATTTCCTGTGAAAATTTGGTGTTATTACATAAATGCTGTCTTATGTTTCTGCAACGGTGATACAAGTTTGGTGGCTCTTCTGATACAAGCCATTAAAGGTGGCCGAGGAACTTTGGGCTGTGTTGTAACTACTTTGGGGATTGTGGTCTCTCTCTTTTTTTGATTTTTGTAAAACCTTTTGGTAGTTAATTTGTTGAATTTTTGAAAGTTTGCGCTTGTTTAGTTATGAAAGATATGGTTTTTGACATGATGGAGGCTTACTTTTTTTGTGCTTGAGGCAAAAGAATTGACTTTGTTACATCTAAAAATTGCCTTTTGGGGGTCCACTTTTTCTTTGCACTTCAACACCTGGCTTGTGCATAAGTTGTCTTTTAAGTATTTTATAAGGTTGATGTGTTTGTGTTAAGTTATAGGATGATATTATTTATTATCATGTATTTATGGCTTTGTTCCTTGACATTGTATGTGATTGGGCTGGTCTTCTGGTGCATTTTTTATATTTTTGTTTTGACTTAAAACATATATATATATATTTATATAATTTACTGATGGTGCTTCTAAATGAAAAGTCAAGTTCAATGGTGATTAATTAACAATGAACTACTATGTATCTCCAGTACTTCTTTTTCTTAAAAAAAGATGAAAAATCTGTCTCTCTAAAATATTATTTTGAATTGAAAGATAAACACCTTGAATCTCGGTGTATTATTCATAGAATTGGTACACCATAAAAAAAACCTCACATATTTTCAAACTTCCTACAGTTAAAAAAGAGGTGCCTGTAGTGGAATTCCAATGGAGCCATTTCTGAATTATTGATTCCGCACTTCGACTGGATTTGCAAGATTCTCCATAAATTACTTCCAGAAAAAGAAAGATCCTCCATAATAATTTATTCCTTGAAGGGGCAGTTGATCTATGTTCTTAGCTCATTGTACAAGAAGATCCCACCACCTTTTTGGTTGCTTATCCTGTAACAAAGTTGAGGGGAGTGCACGCTTTGGTCAAATCAATGTGAAGACGTGGGGCTTTCAATGCTATGTCCTGTTATGCTCTTGCATCCCCTTATTCTTTTTGATAAATTTGCATCCCCTTTTTCTTGAAGTCCATAGTCACCTTGGTTGGACAAGAAGTGAGAAATGATTTATTTTAGCAGAACGAAACCGGAAAAGAAGTTTTAGAAAGAAAGTCGAAAGAAATATTTTGGAGCTACAAAGCTTCAACAGATTTATGTACTACGGATAGCTGTGCATTTATGTGTAACCCTAGTGGATCGGCTGGGAATTTGCAAATTAACTTGAGTGCTGATTCATAAGGAATTCGTGGATTCAATATTTGAATTTGCAGATTATGGAAAAGATTTGGTTAGCATTTTCTGAATTGAAAAATTATTGTTAAACCAGGACTCCACTAGAAAATTTGAGGTCTCATCTAAGGTGTGGGGGAGAATCGTGCTGTTTTAAATTCTTGATGGTCTCCCATGATTTTCCTCAAAATCAAACACGTGGGTTTAACCTTTGGTCTGGTGAGCTGTTGTTCAAAGATATTGGGAAGTCGAATGCCTCTCCTTAGGCTTGGAGAAGTGTTCATCTTGGTTAGTAGGAACTAATAGCGAAATGAGCATAAGACGTGGAAAGTTACATGATTCATTCAACAGCCTGCCTATGCCGATGGACAAAGAAATTTAACAAACTTCAGATCAAGAGTAGAAGGTAATAGAACATTATTTTTCCCTCACCTACAAATGACACCTTTTGCTAACAATGACAAGAATTGCCTCCAACTTTTTTGATACACTGAACCCTTCTTAAAGATGCGCACCATAAAAGTAATTGAGAAATATTTTTCCGAAACAGCCTGCCTATGCCGATGGACAAAGAAATTTAACAAACTTCAGATCAAGAGTAGAAGGTAATAGAACATTATTTTTCCCTCACCTACAAATGACACCTTTTGCTAACAATGACAAGAATTGCCTCCAACTTTTTTGATACACTGAACCCTTCTTAAAGATGCGCACCATAAAAGTAATTGAGAAATATTTTTCCGAAACAGTAAATTAATGTTTTTCCTAGTTCCAAGCCAAAGCCCTAGCTGGAAAAGGATTTTCAGGTTAACTAATATTCTCATATCAGAATGTTAAATGAAGTTTTCCTCCATTTTCTTTATTCCAAATAAACGAACATTTTAAAAAGTACCCTGACGGAAATAAGAATTCAGGGGATAATCACTTATCAAAAAAAAAAGAAAAAGAATTCAGCGGATAATCACAATCGATACTTAAAAGTAAATGGGGAATTTGGTTGGTGCAAATCATATTGTTTGGACTATATTGGGCTTTAAAAGCTACTAAATGGCACTCAAAAGTGGCTTTGGACTCTTTTATGCGCTCATACCGGACCTTCTGTTCTTACTTCTTATGAGATTGTACAATGGTAGTGGAAATGGCTCAAAACCACATGGGGAGGGTTTTGGACACAAAAAAAAAGGAAAATGGATGAGGTGATTGTTGAGTAGTTTTCCCCTTGTGATTCACGGAATATGATCTGGGACTATGTGTGATTTCGCGTGCCTCAAATGGAATGATCTCACTGGCCAATGCAATATGACTGACGCTGAATCTTGTTTTTGATTTGACACTCCTTAAGTCGATGATTCATGATCGCACATTGCATCCCAAAATTTTGTGACATGGCTGTCTGCATTTTAGACTTTTTGTGGAGGGCTTGTCCTCAAGTTATCACAATTAGTTTATGAAAATTATCATCTTATTGTTGGTCCACTACTTTTGGAAGTTAGTTGATGCTATGCAGACTGGTTCTTTTTCCTTTTGGATTTATACTGACTCAGTCAGGTCCCTTGTAAATTTGAGAAATGTTTATACTTTGCCTTCACCAACCTGCAACCCCATATTATGTATGGTGTTGCTATCACACCCCTTCTGAAAAATATGCTCTCGGTTTCGAAAAACATCTTTATGTTTTGAATATCAATCCTAGCCTATCCATGATATCTATAAATTTCTGTTGTTGTACTGTTAGTGTTTGTGATCACATGCTTCACCGGGAAGAAGGCTGTGTTTCAATTTGAATGATCTACCATGGAAAGACTTTTGAAACACCAACTGATAGATAGTTGCCTTCTTGCTATTGAAACAAAAGCTTACCTTGACAAGTATCCAAATAATATCAATTTGTGTGGATACCCGTGTTCTTGTTAGTTTGATTAAATCTTCTTACATTCGTTCGCTCAGATGTGTCAGTTAGTACAAAAATTTCTTGAATGGCAGAGCACCTGAAGTTCATTGGAATAAATAGTTGTAAATGACATCGGATTTCTGTTTTATCCACCTTGTCTGTCATTCTTCTTCCTTTGTTAACATTGTTGCTGTTTGGGTGGGTGGGGTGGGTGTTGGTTTATTTTCTCTTTTATTTTAAATGAGATTGGTATTGTCTGGCAATTGTTTTCTGACTATCTTGTGCTTTACCAGCCTCCACTGTGGGAAATGTATCTGCAGCAAGTGAAAGAGTGGGAGCAAGCGATGACCAAAGCCAACACTGGCCTCTCCAGTGGATGCCAGGAGAAGACTCCACCCATTGAGAAACCACCCATGTTTGCTTTCTGTTTGAAACCACGGGGTTTGGAGGTTCCTAACAGGGGCTCAAAACAAAGGTCGCAGAGGAAATTTCCAGTTTCCGGACACGGCTATTCTGTTCTGGGAGATCAGGATGGTCTTCATGCGTTTGGTAACTTCTTTGTTACTTTTTTATATGTACCTCCATTAGCCAATTACCAATATTAGCTTTAGCTTTTAATTTTTCTGTAATCTGCTCTCTTGCGCCAGGGAGAAGATTAAATGGCTTTGCTTTAGGAGATGATAAGGTTTTATTTTCAGGCAATAATCACGAATATTCAGATGCCTCCCCGTTGCCTCAGACATCAATGAGGACATTCTCACCACGACATACTGGTGTCCCTGGATATTTCGCATTGAAAACTGATGGTTCTGAGTGGAATCATCACCCAAAACTTCACAGGAACAAGTCGAGAAAGATAGAGACATTTCTATCCCCAAATAGTCCACGGATGGTGGCTTCATACAATCAGAGAGCGATAGGCAAGAGAAATGGGGCTCATCGTTGGAATATGGGCTTACCTGAGTGGCCAAGTCAAAGCCAGAAGCATTACCAATCAGAAGGATATCAGAGGCATGGCATTGAACAGTTGGATGATTCGGATCTTGATGAGTTTAGGTTGCGTGATGCCTCTGGTGCTGCTCAGCACGCACTTAACATGGCTAAGCTCAAGAGGGAAAAAGCTCAGAGATTGCTTTACAGAGCAGATCTAGCAATCCACAAGGCAGTGGTTGCTCTCATGACTGCCGAGGCGATCAAAGCTTCTTTTGAGGACTCGAACATTGATGGGTAGGATGATCTTAGGAATTATGAGATGAAAGTGAATGAAATCCGCCAGCCCCTTCAGCTGGCAGTTGCGGCCCAAGAATTCATATTGCTTTTTGAGTTGACGTTTTATGCTGGATCTGGTCTTTCTTTTGTCAATGGTGATAGCCTTGCATCATTTGCAATAGATTACATGAAGACTGCTAACTGATGGTTTGTACAAAGTCGGAGCAGAATCGTTACTTATGTCCGTTCATGATGCTGAATTCTTGAAGACACTGTGCTGTCACTATCGATGCAATTTTGGTATATATCTTCCCAGCTCTACCCACTTGTTCTTTTTCCGAGCAGCAGGTTTTGTCAGTGCAATGCGACGTGTGTAGTGCTTGCGCTGGTAAGGGGTGTGGAATTCTTTGTGAGGATTATTGTACAGATATATTTTACCCCTTTCTATCGTTGTTCCGTTTTTACGCCCCAACTCCAGTTATGCTTGATATCGAAGGACCAATTGGCTCAAATAATACAAATACGCCCCTCAGAATCAAATTACTTATTTTTGCGTGATTGGACTTTGATACAGTTACTCGTGTACCCATCAGAACGCCCTATTCCTGGTAAAGAGAAAAAGGGAATGAAAAAAGAATTTCTGTAAGTAATTATCTGGTAAAAGTTAATGCATAAATGACGCGAGTTTACATCTTGTCACTTCTATGTTCTAGTCAAATTTTTTTTTTTTTTTTTATTTTCGTTTTTGGCTCAATCATATGTACGGGTCTGTGTTGGTCTATAATTGGGTTTATTCGTCTTTAATTTTTGCTCTTTAACATGAAGTGCATCATAGTCTGGATTTGGCTTATTACTCATTGATCTTTTGCTCCCTGAGGAAGTGCATTGAACGATTGTAGCATGTGAAACTCTTTTAGCAAAGTTGGATCTCGTGTGTGGCTTTGGAGTGTGCATTCTAGATATATATGATGCATGTTTAGCGGCTGCGGTCGCGGTGTAACAATGGATTCGGACAAAATCCGTGTAAACTGACTGATACGGGTTGCTATCGGCTGATACGGCGAACTATGATATGATATTACATTTGTATAATGCATGGTGATAACGGACACGGGAGAAGGTTGCTGCTGCATTTGTGGTGTTACACCATACATTCTTCAGTGTTTCATTAAAGGATTAAGGACAGTTTTTAGTACACGTTACTACTAAGATTGGGTTGAGGGCAATGGATGCTGGTGGTGGATATTGTTTTCTGGAGGTGTTGGTGGAGTTGATTTTAATTTATAAAGTCCTGTTTGGTGGTTCATTGAAGTTTTCAGATTTTGTTTTATTATGGATGGTTAGGACTCAAAACTTAGCAACGAGACAAGTCTTTGTTTAGGAACTACACAACATTTTACACGTGCCTTCATCTAATTGGTTGTCTTTCATATGTTTAAAGGTTCACATGAGACTACCCCAATAAAGCTATAAATACCCTTTCCACTCACAATACCCCTATAAATACCCTTCCCGTTCCTATGGAGAGCGTGAATGCTCTATTATACAAATATAGGGCTTGCTTTATTTATTTTTTTTGTTTCGTTTTCTGATAATTAAAACTGAGAAAATGCAAAAAAAAAAAAAAAAAAAAAATATATTTGGTTGAATAGTTCTTCAAACTGTTTTTCTTCGAATTTAGTTAGCTTCTCTAAAAATAGTTTTTTATTTTTAGATTTTATAAGAATTGTTTTCTAAAAATTAAATCAAGCGATCACGTGAAAATACTACTTTTGTTTTAAAAACCAGAAAATGACTAAATCAGCTGGTATGTGTGATCTCACAGTGGCATTTCCAAAATAATGGAGATTCTATTTAGATTTATTTCAACACAATTAGAAGTTTTGAAAAACACAACATTTCCCGGTCGAGATTTGTAAGAAACCCTCCGTCAATCTTTTTCCATATTCTTGGACCATTTGCATAAGATTCTCTAAAGTTCAATTCAAGAACAAGTATCAACACATAATGACTAATTATTCAGTCTATGACATAATTTTGTATAAAGTGAGTGCTCTTGAGATTCATGTCCACATCACCATATTTGACAATAAAAGCTTTTATAGGCGTTTGACAAATCCAATATTTATTCAAATTCAAAATAAGTTTTTTTTTTTTTTTTTTTCAAATAATATCTATATATTCAATTATATTAATAGTACTTGAGAAAAAGAATCTGCTAGAGAGGCTTGCGAAAGTTGCAGAGGAAGGTAATGAGAGCTTCTTGTTGAAGCTCAAGGAACGCAATGAGCAGTAATCTCACAAAAAGCATACACTCTCTTGCATGTTTACAATTCTTTTCCCCTGCAGTTTTCTTAAAATGATTTATATTTATTTCGGTTTTTCCTGTTTTTTGAAAAATGCAGAGAGTCGGAATTAATCTTCCAAATATTGAAGTCCGGTTTGAAAATTTAAATGTTGAATCAGAAGCGTTATGTTGGAAGTTATGATGCACAAAGTTTTTGAACATTATGTTTACTGGTTTCTTTGATTGCTTCCCTGATAGTGAGGGTTAATTTTCTCAACTGATAAAAACAATGCATTGTAACAAGAGTACACTAGTTTGAAATAAATCGAGTTTGGCACAAAATTTTTAGTGTTGATATTCTGGTGTATATATATTAAGGTATCAATAAGGAAAGTACATCACAAATACACATATTGAATTAATGAAAACAAATCATCACAAATTTGCAAAAAAACAAAGCACAAACAATGCAATCAAAAAATTGAAGCACAAGCAAAATAATAAAGCCTAAGAGACAAAATGACAAACAACAGGAGATCAAATTACACAAACATATATACACACACACACACACATGATGCTTTCTCAAGTTTTTGCTGAAAACTAATCACCAAGGGCTTAGCCTAAGATACCGGTATCTCCTCCTTCCAAATGGAAGGTTGAAGGTTCGAGTCACCGATGAAATAATAATGAGTGAGTGTATGTGTCTATTGAGGAGTAATTTTGCTCAAAACTTGAAGTGTGGCAATTTGTTGGATATATAATATCAAGAATACCTCTTTGTACTTTGATCAGAATACAACACTTTTCGAGCAAGTTGGAGAAAACCAAATCAGCTTCAGAAGACAGCATGTTGAGGAGTAATTCTCCCAATCCTTTCTTTTCTCTCCAAATCATTTAACCCAAACAAATACCTTCTTTTCTTTTCTTTTCAAATCCCTTCAAATTATTCAATCCAAACGAAACCCTTTTAGAACTGGAGGAATCAGTCTTCAAAACTTTTGACTTTTTAAGAAGTCATCAGGCACTGAGCAACAAGGGAATTGGTGTTTTTTGAACTGTTTGATTTATGTATTACAGTATTAACTTTCGTGAAGACAGTGTCTGTATGTGACTCTAAACAGTAGTCACATGTAGTTTGTCTACTTCACCAGGGAGAATAAAAATAAAAATAGTCTCTTTGTTCCAAAATGAAAATCTCCTTTGTGTTTGGTTAATTAATAAAAGAAATGATAGTAATCATATTTGGGAAAGAAATAAAATGAAACTATTGTAATGAATTTACTGATTTATAATCACACAATTTTTTTAGAGAGTTTTTCTTTTTTAAAAATATGGGTAAATTTGATATTAACAAAGTTTTATTAAAAATATTAGCCTTTCGTCCCATTTTTGGAAGGATAACAAAAGTTACAATTCATACTTCATTCTATCTCTTCAAATCTTTCCTTTTCTTTTCCATCCAACATTTCTTACCAAACACATTTTTTTATTTCCTTCCATTACCATTCTTTCCTTTTCCTTTCCTCACTGGATCATGTCAGGAAAGCTACTCTGCCACTTACAATACCCCGTCGTGTATTTTCATTTCCATTCAACCAAACTGCATTTTAATGCTCTCGAGTACCTAATGCTAGAAGGTTTTTGAAATGTAACCCTGACACCCCTTATGTTTCCTTTTATTTTATTTTTTTTTTAAAAATATTGCAAAACCTAATTGATATGAGATTTTTTTTTAAGAGATTCATAAATTACAATGTTCAAACATTACAACCATTGTAATAATTAACTTATGGCTATGTACCTAATGCTAGAAGGTTTTTGAAATGTAACCCTGACACCCCTTATGTTTCCTTTTATTTTCTTTTTTTTAAAAAAATATTGCAAAACCTAATTGATATGAGATTTTTTTTAAGAGATTCATAAATTACAATGTTCAAACATTACAACCATTGTAATAATTAACTTATGGCTATGTGTAATGGGTGGGTTTATTTTTAATCTGAGTTTGATGTGGGACAAAATACCTTTTGTAACATTCTCCCTCATTAGAACTCGCAATACCCTTGTTGCGATTGGGCCACCCTACCTACCCGGTTGCACAGGATTAAGGACTGGATCTGGCTTTGATACCAACTGTTGGATAATGCTGCATATCCACCTATTTATACGTCATTTACTTTTTATCCGTATTCGATGTGGAACAAAATTAGGGTCGGCCTGAGATTTCCAAAATTTTGAGAAGTCCCAGGTGAACTTTCAAATGCGAGACATTTTATTATAAGGCTTAACACGCGCAAAAAAAATTTAAGAGTGCAAAATTTTTATTAAAAGAAGACGATAAACACAAAATATATTAACGTTGAAAACACATAAAACAAAATCTGATCTTGGTGCTTTATAAAGAGCACGATATAGTTTATATCAAAAAAATTAAAAGAAATATTCAATACAACTTAGTCACAAAAATCAAAATTCAAGTTCATATAAAAATAAATGTGATCGTCTTGCATTTTGAGCAGCAAAATTATCAATTAAAGTGTTACAATCAAATTTCTCCAAATTATCTTTTTCAATAGATATCATAGCCGATCCATTCAATCTCTCTTATGACATCGTCCGTGTGTGTAAAATTTGATCAACTTCATCTTTGAAAAACTTCTCTGGGCAGATGCAACTGTAATTGAGATAGTTAATAATACTTTATATGCAATCTACGCATTTGTAAAATAATAATTTAACATTTCTTTATAAAATCAAATACTTCAATTGATTTTTTTGGTTCCTCTTGGTAAAGTTTATCTTCAGTTTGTACCTCCGAAAATAATTTGGTTGTTTGTACGGGCTTAACAAAGTGTGCCATGCATGCAAATAAACACAAAAATAATATAATTATAAATAAATCAATTTATGAGTTTAAATATAAAATATTATTATTTTCTTTTTGAAGGGATAGAAACAATTTGTTATTACCATGCAAATCATTGTCTAATATATATAAATTGATATTATAAGTTCGTGTTTATTACTATAATTTTTTTAAAAAAAAGTTATTTATTACCTAAATTTACATTATATATAAGGATGTATTAATTATGAGCAAAATACCCCTTGTAAGACTATGTACCTACCATAACAGATTTAACTTAGATGATCCTGCTCCTTACCGTAAAACCTCTGTTTCTTTTCACAACGGCTGCTCCTTTCCCAAAACCCGCCAAAATACCGGTCACCCACCCGCAAAAAACGGCAACATTCTCTCCCTCACACACTCTCTCCCTCTAAAAACTGTTACAGATCTCTATCTACCCATATACGCAAACCCTTGTCTTTTCCAAAATTTCCACGCCCATCAGTTCCTCATCTTCTTCTCCGTCCCCCAATTCGTTCCCTGTTTGGTTGCTTGGAAAATCAAGGAGAATAATAGAATTCCTGAAGGCATAGCTTGATAGAGCATTGAGAAATTGTCTATTGCATTTTCCGGAACAATTCGAGGTATCATGTTGAATTCTTTGCTTTTAATGGTAATATATATATTCTGTTTTCTACAATATAGTGTTTTTTTTCTCCATCAAATTATATATATATATATATATATATATATATTTGATTGATTTTGCATTGTGTTTTCCTCTTTTTATTAGATTAAATAGGCGGGTAATCTTTGAAAATGACAAACCGTATGAAGGAAGAGGAGAGAATCGAAAAGATTATTCGTGGGCTTTTGAAGCTTCCAGAAAATCGGAGATGTATTAATTGCAACAGCTTGGTATGGTTTTGGCCTCTCATTGTTAAATTAATTGTCTTGTATTTTGATTTGATGCATGTTTAATGATGAATTTTTTGTGTCACTATATTAGAATGTCAAGCTAGCTAGAAAGTAAGAATTATTGTCAACCCAGAAAGTAAATAGATTAAATTAATTTTAATATGTTACAATGTGGACTGTTAGCATCTAATAAGATACTAACATTGATGTTCATAGCTCCTTAATAAAAGGTGTTTCTTATGAATTGTGAATTTCGAGTTTGTACGTATTTCGAACCTATTAAGTTCTCATGCTTGATAACCCGGGCATTTTACCACTGCACCTTGCAATGACCCATTAGTTTGTATGTGTGCTGAGTGTTGTGTGTGTATGTTCGGTCGATGATTTATTGTGGGATTTGGTTGATCTTTTCGTTATTTAAATCAAGGGTTTAATGGTCAGTGTGATTTTAAACTTGAAGCAAATTTTTCAGAAACTATTTCAAGGTTAGCATTCCAGGCTACCTCTCCCAAAAGAAAGAAAATGAAATGAAAAGAAAAGAAAAATGGCTCTCTCATTCTTGTTCTTTTTTTATTATCTGAGTTAAAGTGCTTACCGGCTTGAGCTCAATGAATGTCGAGGTTTGCCTAGAAGCAGCCACCCTTGAAAGAGTGCGTAATAAGCTACTGAATAAAAATAAAGGAGCAATACCACCCTTTGATCTTGATAGAACAAGAAATTGGTTATTGCTCCTTTACTTTCAAGAACTTGTATACACTAAGAAAAAGTCTTATCCATTTGTAGATGGAGCTTCAATAGCAGCTAGGTCTAGGGGGAAGTTATGAGCATTACGTTTGTGCATAACTTCCATACCAAAAGGAAGACTTTGTAAATTTCTGTTCTCGTACTGATATGGACTGTGAATCATTCAAATGGAGATTCCATGCTCAAAGATGTTCATTTGACTGCACTTCGGCTTAAACCTAACAGTTCTTTTAGTGTGCGAAACTTTTTCTTTTTTCCCCGAAAAGTAATAGTGTGTGAGAGGTGTCAACCAAAAACAAAATGAAATTTTGTCGCTCATCACACATAGTATTCTCATCAAATTAACTATTTTTGCTTTTCATTTACAATATGGTTTCAATCAACTAATTGGGTTTCCTAGATAAACCTTGTGAATAGTTATGCTAAGCTTTGATCAACTTTGACTGATGATTAAGCACTATTCTGCTGCATTACTCTTCTGGTGATATTTTGTAATAATCATTTACTATAAATTTTTCATTATTCTATCTCTACGTTTTCTTTAAAATTCCATCTAGACCAATCAAAATTACCTACTTCATATAGATTGATCAATTTGGAGTTTGAACAGAGAAATGAACAGGCATAAGGAGAGAAGATTAACAAAAGGTACATACTTATATAATATATTTTGTAGCCTTTTGATGAAACATGACCCAATCAAAATAGATTATCCTCATCCTGTGTAGCACAGTTGGCACCATGTCTGTGCCTAGAACTTGGCACATTACCTTGATTTCTACTTGACATAAATGTATTACAAAACTTCATCCTCCCCACCTTTGATCTGTAAAACTTCGTACCTATCGATTTTGTTTGAAGATAATTATCTTAAATGAACATTTTACCTAATGTTTTTTCCAAATTTGATATGCGAATCCTCTTGTAATCTCCTTGTTGCCCCCATCTGTTCATTAGGTATCTGTATCTTGAGAACTTCTTTCTACGAAAAAGTCTCCCTAGTATGCGTGGGCATAGTTTTGATAAGGGCCATTCTTTTTATGAATAAGTCTTGCCACGAGGACCTCCTCTCCAGGGATAAGCCTCACAGCTTTCTCTATAGGCATGTGGCTTGGCAATCATTCTATGATTGAAGACTCTCAAGGACGTACTCTCTACAGCATTAGTTTTAGGCTCATGCAAAATTTTGATTTTAGACCTTATTCTTTGTTTTTACTTATCCAAGACCGCATTTAGTCATGGAAGAACAAGTGTCCAGTACCTCTTGGTAAAATCAAGTTGGTCTGCGAGATGCACATGGTCGACTAGATCTCCACTTCTGATATGGCTTGTTGAGACAACACAAAATAGAGAGGGTTTTTCTGTAGCATTTTTAGGCTGTTCATTTTATTTAATATAATTTTTCTAAGACAAAGTGTTTGTGGAACATATATAACTATTTTGAAGTCACAATTTATTATAATCATCATTTCTATGACATATTTAATCTACCGATGTAGTAAAATACAATTTTAGTTCCATCCCTGCTGTTCTTTACAAATTACACTAACAAAGAATCTTTTATGCAATATGATACATAGGCTGACATATGAATATGATCTTCAAGCAGGGACCGCAGTATGTTTGCACGACTTTCTGGACATTTGTTTGCACAAACTGCAGTGGAGCACAGTAAGCTTGTATACGTGTTCTTACGTTAACTGCATTCACAAAATTTCTTCGTTCATGATATGCTGCTCGTGATGCACAAGAGATTCTGCATGTCATTGAACGGAGTGCTAATTGACAGAACCATTTTTATTTTTAATAATATTATCTGATTTTAGTTGAGAGCAACTTCCTAGGGCTGATTGGTTATTTATGTAAACTAATTCCAGTCGGGAATTTGCGCACCGAGTGAAATCAGTGTCCATGGCTAAATTTAATGCAGAAGAACTCAGTGCTCTTCAAGCTGGCGGAAATGAGGTGTGTTTGTATACTTGTTCCATTTCAGGTGGCTTTTGTGCATCATCAAACAAGATTTTTACCCGTCACTGTCTAACATACATTTCATTTTCATAGAAAGCGAGGCAAATCTATCTCAAAGTCTGGGATCCACAGCTTCACTCTTTTCCGGATGGCAGGTTTCTGTGTATTCTTATTTTTATCTGATATGATAAACCAAAAAGAATGCAATCTAATGCAAAGTTTTCATAATGCAGTAATCTTCAAAAACTCAGGGATTTCATTAAGCATGTCTATGTGGGTAGAAAATTTACTGGTGAGAGGAGTGCTGACAAGCTTCCAACGGTCAAAGTGGTAAGCCTCTCATCCACCAGCACATGCAGCCATTATATTTTGTTCCTTAAACAGCTACATGTACATTAAGTTATCTGCTTAATATATTTACAGCAGCCAAATCATGATGTCTGTTGAATGTTCTCATTCATTTAGCATAATGAAACTGTTTCCAAGTTCATGTCAGATTCTCTTTCAGTTAAAAACATCCTGATTATCTGTGCTGCAGGGTGCGAAGGAGGACTTCTATGAAAGATATAATCCCGGTGGACGGAAGGATGAGAGGAATTTGAAAAATTATATTGATGAAAGAAGAAGTCCTCATTACAAACAAGAAAATGTAAGATCTGGTGGTCACAGGAACCATCCTGTTAACTTTGACAAAGTCCATACCAAAAAGTTACTCTATTGATATAAAAAATTCTAACCAAGAGAATCTAACCCAACATTTTATACACAATTGAATCATAAACATGACTTTATATGCTGCAGGATGCGAAGGAGGACTTCCATGAGCAGCGTTCTATTGAAAGATATAGTCCTGGTAGATGGAAGGATGACAGAAATTTGAAATGTTATAACGACGGAAGAAGAAGTCCTCATTACAAGCAAGAAAATGTAAGATCTAGTGGTCACAGGAGCCGTCCTGTTAACTTCGAGATAGTCCATATCAAAAGTCACAATGAAGTGAATGTAACCCAAATTTTTATGCAGAATCCAATAATAAACTTTACTTTTGATATGCTGCAGTGTACCGAGGACTATTGTGAACGGCGTCCTATTGAAAGACATAGTCCTGGTGGCCGGAAGGAAGACAGGAATTCGAAATATTATTCTGATGAAAGAAGAATTCCTCCTTACAAGCAAGAAAATATAAGATCTGGTGGTCGCAGGAGCCGTCCTGTTAACTTTGAGATAGTAGATGACAGGGTTCGAGATGATAGAAGAAGATCAGAAATCCGCAGGAACAGTGCAGAGTCCAAGTCTGGAAGCAGGTCACCAGATTCTCAAAAAAGCAGGGAAATGACCGGTCCCCCAGTGGTACGCTCTGTCAAAGATATTTTGGGCGAGAACGTTCCACCTCTGCGGGTAGGTGAACATCCGGAAGTGAATGATAAGAGGGATACTGATGGTTCTGCTCACGATGAGGTGAGACAATTATACTGTGATGCTGAAGCTGATCATGTTCCATCTTATGCTATGTTGCACTGGTTCATGTTTCTTTGCATTTTATCAAAAACTGGAAGGTAGCTCCAAATATTTTTTTAAGATGGACCTTTTCTTTTGTTGGTTGTTGTAATGATAGAAATGACAATCCTTTCTTCTGAAAGAAATTTCATCACTAGGTATCTATACTTGCTTATTATTATGTAAATTGTCATGCCCCCATACTTTATTGTATACTCTTTGAAGTTGCGAGTAGTTGTGCTGACAACAACTTCCCATGCCTTTATTTTTTTCTATAAAAATTACTGCTTGGAAATTTTATTTTATTGATGTAATATAAACCACATTCCATGGATTTTTAAAAGGTGAGAATTTATAAATTATATATATATGTATATATATATACTCTATTTTTAGCCTCTATTTATTGATTCTGTTTGTCATGCAGATAACAAAGCCAAGTGTTTTTGGTAATAGTCTTTAGAATCAGGAATGATGAGAGTGGTGTTTCCTTAAATAAGACTAGGCAAAATCATCTTCAAGTAATGCTTACTAGAAATAGAGAATTTGGATTCTGCCTTGCATCAAACAAAATAATAGTGAATCAACAATTTGCAATGAGATTACTTAGGGAAATCCTACAGTGCATACAGAATTTTAGCACCACCTTTGCTCCTTGATTAACTGCATGTAGAAAAGGAATTGTTTGCACTTTGCAGTAATGAGATAACAAGAAAGGCTTTGAATTTGTTGAAAACAAAAATTTTGTTGCTTTCAAATTCACCTATCATTCATGCTGGCACTAGTTAACTTCGGGAAGGGCTTTAAGATTAAATGTGGCACTCATGTAAAGACATTAAAAAATTGTTTAATTGCCTCTTTCCAGGAGTAGACGACTGCCTAGATTATGAATTGTTCTTTTTGCCCCTTAGTTGTTTCACGTTGAGTTCTGCTCACAGAGTCCATTTTAGGAAACCTAACATTTTTCAATTTCTATGGAGTTCAAGCACAATTTCTTCTGATCTTTCAGTCTTTCTCAATGCAGAAGTCAGAATCTTCCAGTACTCCAGCACCTGTTGATGAGAAACTAGTGGAGCACAAGAGAGTAAACTCGGAAAGCTTGATTGATTTCAGCACTGATCTTGAGCCTTGTGATACCATAGCAGCACCACAAACGGAGCAAACAGCTCCCCCGGTTGATGGTGGCAACTTGGTTCTTGTTCAATCTTCCCCGAAGGAGAAGTCTTCTGATGTTCCAAATTTAAATTCTGTGGAATCTTTATTATTTGATTTGTCACCTCCTTCAATTGAACCTGTCGGTGTCATCTCTGATGCACCTGGAAGTGGTGATGCTCCATCGGCTACACCTGTCGCATCATCCAATAGTGTCAGTGCTCCTGCAGCTTCACCTGTAGGAATGGCTGTACCATGGCCCAGTAGTGGCAGTGATTCTATGGTCGAAGTTACTGCTGGACAGCAGTTGCCAACCATGCAGCAACATTTACCTTCTTCTACATCCCCAGTTGGAACTTTGTATAATCAGGTGAAACATTTGCTGCCTTTTCCTTCTCAAAGTCTGATATTTTGCATTGTTGATTTTTCTTTTCGTTTTTTTTGGTTGAATCTGATACGAAACCTTGAAAATTCATGAAATTCTTTAATTCACAGATAAAAATGGTTAAAATCTCAATACATTGAAGATGAAAGAGTTGAAAAACATTTGAACTTTTACAGTTTATACCTTGCTCTATCTTGTTACTCCTGTGAAGCGTAACTAACTTCTGTTTCTTGTACATATCTGCAGCCGTGGACTGCATCACAAGCACCAAGTTCTCAGGGACCTTCTAGTGCTACTGCTGAACAATTATATGAAGCTGCCTCTAAAACAGCCCAAGACACCAGTTTTGGAGTTGGGCCACAAGCTGTTCAGATGTCAGAAGCAAAGTCTACTGGAAGAAAGGAACTTCCGGCGGTAATTGAGATTCATTATTTTTGTGTTTAATGGTATTCTTTCTTTAGTTTCCTAATTAGAATAAATGAATTCTGCAGGACCTTTTTTGTGGAAACTATTCGTCTTACCATGCACCAGTTTCGAGTTGGCAAACTCATCCACCTCATGGAATGGGATTTGGCATGCAGTACCATCCTACTGCTACGGTATCTTGCCCTGCCATGATTATTGGGGCAAATAAGTTTTTTGTTGAGTACATATATCCAGCTACTTTACAGAAGTTTTAATCTAAATATGGATTTTTGTTGCAGCCTGTGTCAACATTTCCCAACTCAGCAAAATCGAAAAACCCATTTGATATCAGTGATGACACAACCCAAGATCAAGCTCCAATGGTAAGCTCCAATCGAAAAACCCACTAATCCTTCCCAAGTGTTTTGTTAGACTTATTAATATCATCTAAAGCATAAACTCTACTGCTAAAGGTCTTGTATAAATACCGATTGTTATGTAATATTATGCATCTGTAGTGGGCTGACTATATTGACACTCCACTCTTTAAAAGTGGAGGAGCGAATTAAGCTTAAGGTGGAGCAGAAAGTGAACATGTTCAGTTAGTAAAAGGCTTGTTGCTTGTTTGGACACTTGTAGGCATGTTATGTGCTCAGATATTGTTGTTATTTGATTAAGTTAGAACTTGTAAAATGCTCACTTGTGGTCAAGTCCCTAATAGGTACAGTGTGCTTAGTTTAATTTATCTAAAACTAGTTTTGCTTGTTAATTTCCTTCCTTGCTTCTTTTCTGCTTGCCTGAATCAACAAACGATGTCAGCATAAAAACTTATATGAAGTAGTTTCACCTTAAAGATTGATGATATATATAAATAGTAATATTTTTGTTTGTTTAGTCTGTCTGACCTTATTTTTCACGTGATTGTGAAGTATTTGGGAAAACTTCTACTTGTTTTAGCTTATTTAAATCAGATAGAACTTGTTCTGATATCTAAATTATGTATTTACTGTGATGTAGTTTCCTTCCATGTCACCTTTGCAAGGAGCACTGCCGATGGCATCACCTTATGCGTCCGCATTACCTCCACAGTCGCCTTCCAATGGAATGCCCCCAATTCCAAGTAAAATCACATCACTGTCATTTGTTTTTTGTAAGCTTCCCATCCATTTGAATTTTTTTTTTTTCCATATCTTTGCTTATGTCCGATTCATTAATCTCAGATGCATTCATGGGACAACATTTACCCAATAATATGCCATCTTTCAGGTGAATTCTTGTTCGACTCTCTCTTGTTTAATTTCTTAGGTACATTCTACAAAGTTTTCTTGAATATACCTCTTGCTTACTATGAGGCTGCAATATTAAATGCTTTTATCAACCTACGTATTTTGGGCTCTGTTTTGTTTTAATTATAGAGCACATTATTGTATAAATCATTCAAAAGGGCTTGGTCTTTACAAAATATAACATGGTTGAATGCCTACCTAAAGCAAGACAAGATGGGTGTCCCTTTTATTAAGACAATAGATAGATGAAATTATGGTTCTCTACTAACGCGCTCCATTCAAAATTCTTTATTTACACATCGGATTCTTAGAAAACTACAGTATATGAAATTTGATGTTTATGGTCAAAATGAAAAAAAATTCCAAGTCTTACTGTCTGCCATTGCAGACCACAGGTCAGTGGTAGCTTTGATGGAAGTCAAGCTGCTTTTGCTTCCTTAAATCCAATTCAGCAGCCTGGTGGCGGATACCCAACACCCACTACTTCTTCTTCAATGGGTGGAAATCCATTTGGATAGATTCAAGAATACGCTTCGTATTTCATTTCGATGACAGAATCATCCTGGTTCGGCCCCCTAGCATTTTTAGGGAGGGCTGGTTGCTTGGAGATCAACCATGACAAGCCATCTGCATGAAGAGCTTCATCTGCAACTTCTGTTGACAATGGTAAAGGATTGGAATGTAGCACATGAAAAGGAGTATGAGCAAATATCTTGGGACCGATGTATATTTCAAGAGCATTGTATACTTGGTAGGATTTCATCGTTAGAGTATAAGGTTCTGTAAAGTGCATTAGGCTACTGTCACTATTCCTTCCACAACCACAGTTGGGGGCTTACTGTCAAAGTTTTTACATTTGGAATAGTATTATTTTTTGATTAATTAATAGAGGAAGATATGACAGAATTAATGAATTACTATGCTTCCATTAATATATGGAAGAGATGACACAGTTTGGGCTGTGCCCTTTATTAATGTTGCTCTTCTTCTACCTCTTGTTCTGAATCTTAATTTAAGAAGCTCTGCAATGTGTTTAATTTAGTGCTTTGCTTTCCTGAAGATGGTATGGGTACTAGTTGGTCCCTCTTGGAGGCTCCAGGTGTGGGGTTTCAAGTAGTACTATTGGAACTTTTATATGGTGTGAAAATTTTTAATAGATGAGAAATTATTATATGGTTCCGGAATCATTGGTCCTAACCAATCACCATTTGACACCTAAGTGAATGTGTTGTAAGATTTATGGTGATTGATTGGTTCTGGGACCATGTAATAATTTTTCTTTAATAGACACCATTTTGCTCATAATGTGTTTTCAACTTTTAGATGGTAAAGATTTAAGTTGGATTGGTGTGAACTCTTAACTGTTTGGATAAGTAGGAGTGAAAAAAAAGGAAAAAAAAGAAAAAGAATAAAATTAATCTCTTGAGGGGCCGGTCTGATAATTAGGGATAGAAAGGTGAAAAATAAAAATAAAAATAAAATTAATAACACTTGTCATGATGATCGAGAAGATAGTGGTGAAAGAAAGAAATAAAATAAATATTTAATTATATGAGTACAAATGATAAAAAGAAGAATTCACTGCAAAATGAGTAGCTCTTTGTTTTCTCTTCTTTTTCCTCTAAATCCTTGCACAGTTAGGAGGATGATAGAAACAACACTTAAAGGCTTGACTTTGCAATACTTTGAGAGAGAGACAATTAATGGTGGATAAAGTAAACACAATTTACTTGAGAATCAATGAAGAAAAATATAATAAATGAGAAACGAACTTCTGAAGGAAAGTAGAAAGTGGTTAAGTCTTTTTTTTTTTTGAAATATCTAAAAAGTCAAATAAATTATTTAATTTATCTTTCGATTCAAGAATTAAAAAAGGAGAGCTTATGACTCTTTTTATGAGAAAGAGCATGGGAGCACATTAGACTCTTTTTTTTTAGTTTGATCGACTAACTTTGTTTATATTTGTCACGAGTAAGTCTATAATGAAAACACTCTTATCATAAACTGATGACTTCAACTGCCATCAAACCAAGAGGTTGATCCAATTAATTAATTCTAGTTTTTCTCAACCGAGAGGTTGAGAAAAACTTTGGCAGGCTGGTCCATCACACATAATCCACATATGATTTCAACATATCTTCACATAACTGCACTTTCATCTGTCTAACACACTCAATTAATGAGCACTTAATAGATTCTCTGAATTTTAAAGTTAGTTCACCAAATCACCGTTTCAGTTGTAACAAACAAGTTCAACAGATACATAAATATATATATATATATATATATATATATACTTGATGAGTATAGAATAGGTAGCTAGGCTAGGGTTTTGACATGGACAGGAAAAGTAGTATGAGGGCTGCTTGTGGTGTGGTGGTTGTTTTGGTGGTGGTGATGATGTTGTTAGCTGAGCAGGGCACCGGTGCAGCCATATATGCTTGCTATGGAGGATGCTACAATGGGTGTATTCTCCAAAGAGGGAAAGCTTCCTCAGAGAGAGTGCCATGTTATTATAACTGCCTGAGGAACTGCCTTTCTTACCTTCCTCAGGATTACAAGTACTACTGTCAGCTTGGCTGTTCATTGCAACAGTGCACCCAATTTAGCGCTGGTATCATACTAGTAGATCCATGCATGCATGCATCTCTCTCTCTCTCTCTCATGCATGCATGCATCTCTCTCTCTCTCTCTCATGCATGCATGCATCTCTCTCTCTCTCTCTCTCTCTCTCTCTCTACATATATTGTCACACAAAAGCATGATAGCCTTTTTATACACATATTAAGGCTGGTCAAAACATCAAAAGCTGATTTATTTTGACACTTCATCATCATTCTTGCCTTGTTTCATATGAATGAGGTCTGAATGGACCTAGAAAAATATGTGAGAAGCGGCGACCTTTAACAAAAAAAATGTTGTGAGAGACAATAATGAAATTTTTCTCTAATTTCAATAGGGGCAAACTCAAAATTTTCTAAGTACATAATTCAAAAAAGCAAAATTAGTGGGTAAAATTGCAAAAAGAAAAAATTTCAGTGGGGGCAAAATCTTTTTCTCTAATCTTTTCTACTGCACACCATTTCGCCTACTATATTTAATTTTTTAAAGTCCTTTCTAATATTGTTGTCCATGTTATTTTTGGTTGTCCTCTATGTCTATTACATTCCACTACTGTTGATATAGAAAAAAAACCATAAAAGTCACATTGCATAATCTTTGCATATTTGTCCATTGACAGCGCTCTGTTTCTTTGTTTACTAAACAACTAGTTGAACTGATATGTGTTCTCTTGGCAGATGGAAATAAAATGGAAAAGTGCATGGGTGGTTGCTCCAATACTTGCAAGTAGAACAAAAAATTATTGGGTATCCTCGGTTACGAACTATGTAGTACTTTTCGCCAATGAACACATGCTATTTTCTTTTGTAATAGAAAATAGTTATTTATCTTTAGGCGAGGTACTACATTGTCAGTACCCGGAGGTGTTCAATAGTTTCTCATAATGAAGTTTCTTATAATTTGTTTGTGTGTAGAAGTTTAATTAGCCAACCGTACCTTAAACATGTAATAAAAAAGTTGTGATGTCAATAATAATGGTTATCTTTGGTTCAATTAAGCATAAAATAGAATGAAATGACATGGTTCATTTGCAGCTCTTTCATTTTCTTTTCCCTTTCTTTGGCCATTTTAAGATATTTTCTTGCCAAAAAGGGGTGTTTGGCAAAACCAACAAAGCTTTTAACTAAAGAAAATAACTTCAAATGGCAGTTTTTTTTTTTAACAAGTGCAGTTGAGGGATTGTGTTCTTAATGATTGTTTGATCCTATGCAGACTTGGATATCTTCACAAGTACTACAACAGAAAGATGACCAAAACTTAAAGCCCTTAACCACTATAGCCCTTCTTATAATGGATTAAGGACAAAACTGGAGTAACTGAAAGATATAATAATAATAATAATAATAATAATAATAATAATAATAATAATAATAAAAGCACTTGAAGAAAGAGATCATATGACTTAATCTTCTCATTTAATTTCCTAAGCCTTTCTTTGATTACCCAATTCACCATTAGACTCATTCCTCACTTTCATCAACTTCATGTACCAATATTAACAATCTTTATTAAATAAACAGAAGCACAAACAAGAGCCAAAACCAGTCCATCCAACCACAGCCAATGCAAAATTCTGTACATATATACCTGAATTTTAAGCCTCTTGCTATCTGAGTTTTTCTAACAGCAGAAAGTGTAACAAGATTACAAGATGTATCGACCTTTTGGCTTAAATAGGAATAGAATTCCTAGTTGTACATGCATATCACCATGACCTCCGCGATACTGCAATTCGTGTCTACCATGGAAACTGCAACAACAAAGTAATCCGCAGTTGGAACAATGCTGCAATGCTACTAATCCATGATCCACAAATGTTGTTAGTGTTTTGCCAAGGTCTAGGTGTTTGGCTAGTAGCGAAGGCAACACTGGGAATATTGTATATATGAGAGCCTTAGTCTCTCATTAAAAGAGTGCTTAATACACACACACTTCTCATTTGATTGTTGAGAGGGCACGTTAAAGAAAGGAGACAGATTAATGTTAACCTCCTACCACTCGCATAACGTTCTTAGGATATTTAACCTCTACACCTTTCACGATGAAAGAAGATAAGATGTAACTAATCAATGGTTTAAATGTCATAAAATGTGGGTAAATTACGACGACTTTACTTAAGATTGGGACAAATTACACACTATCGTTTAGTTTTATTATTTTAAGCTCCCATGAGATATGGCACGTGTACTCAATGACAGTCCTAACATTTTCTTTTCAGTAGACATATTAACCAAATTTTATAAAATAACAATTTTGTCATTCCCTTGTATGAAAATATTGTTCTTCTCGGCTTCTACGAAACTGATCAAAAGCATTACTGAGTTTTAAGCACACTCAAAGTCACCTGTACCTTAAACAATTCAACCGATCCATCTAAGAGTCTCCTCTTCTTGGACTCTAGCTATACGACCCTTGAGCCTCGGAACTCACTTTTCTCCGTTATGTTATAGTGGAAATGCCAAACTTAAATTTAGAATCCAACAAAATTTAATTAAAATAAACAAAAAAAGGGTAGTTATAGACACTCCATATTTGGAAACTAAAAACAAAGAATGTTTGCGAGAAGGAACACTCCAATTCGGGAACATCTTTTTAAAAGCATGTCTTATTAGTGCCAAAATAATTGTAAAAGTTAGACAGTAATTTATCCAGACCTCAAGAGAGTAGTACTATGGAATTTATTCTAAAATGTAGTATTTGCTAGTCTTTTATTGCATTTGTATTGAACTATACTTGAGCATGCCAATGTTTATGTCAAGTCCCAAGTGATTTATCATCTTACTCACATAAAAACTAACAACGATTTATTAGAAAAAAACAGAAAAAACTAACAACGATTTATTAGAAAAAAACAGAAAAAAGGTTAATTGCACAAAACACTTTTGAAATAAAATTAATCATTTAACTACTAAAGTTTACAAATAAACCAACAACATAACAGTCTAGATTATTAATTATCCTCCGGTTGTATGGAATTGGAGTTTTGGAATTAAAATTTGTGGAATTGGAGAAAAACAACTCATAAAATTGAACCAAAAATTTATACAATTCCACCAATTCTAATTCCAAAACTATAATTCCATGCAACCGAATACAGCCTTAAAGACAATTGTACAAAAACTCCCTGCCCATTATTCCTTAGAAGGTGTTAAAATGCATCAAGAGAAATGGAAATATTTACCAATGCGTTTGATCATTTCTTAACACTAAAAGAAGAAATGAGTTAATTGCAAATTTTTAGTAGTTAATGGTAGTTATTTGCAAAAAAATATAATACATGAGGGTGACATGTTAATAAATCCTCTCTATTTTAGATGGGCTGTATGCAGATAATTCTGAAAAAAAAAAAAAAAAAATTAGAAAAGGGTTATTTTCTGCATAATTTCCCTCAACAAATTATAAGCAAGTAGATTTACAAAAATATATATGAGTGGGATTTGTTAAAATTAAAAAATATAAAACAAATTGCTCATTGTAAATTAGGGGGAAAAAAACTTATCTATTTTATGCCATTTTACAAATTCAGTGACCATTCACAATTTTTTATGTACAAGCCCAAAAGGGCATTAAGACAAAGCAACCCTTGGCCTAGTAGCATTTACAAAACTTTGGAACAGCTTAGCAGAAGGCTCACTAGAGCCCAATAAACAAAGACCATTGTAAGGAGACATTTTTGTCATTTCACAAACGAATTGCCACGTACTTTCACCTCCTTGTCTGAACATTGAAAAGAGAGTTTAGAAAGAAAGCTCCATAGTAGACGTGAGAAAACCCTGATTTTTTCTACCTGGATTTCCACTAAATCAACAATTTCTCACAGAGGTATTCCTTCAGTTTCATTCAATTTTTCTCATTTTTTTGGAGCTCATTTCTTCTTTATCCCACTCTCAGTTTCTGCATTTTCTCTTTTGGGTTTTTAATTTTCTTTCTTCTAAGCTCTAATTCCATTTATTTTCTTTGTTTTTCTTATGGGTTTCTTCTTTTTCTCTTCTGGGCTTCTGATTATTGAAGAACCTCTCACCTGTTTTTAACTAAAAACGCTCTGAAATTATTGGGTCACGGTTTGCGTGTGATACATATATGCACACATATATATGAATTTAAGAATTCATTTACTTTATGTTCTTTCTATTTAATATATATGTGCTTGCAGATAAGGATCAGGGTGTATGTTGTTTCAGTAGTTGGAGGAAGAATGAAGGGTCATGAAGCAAAGGTATACATACATTATTTATTTATTTTATATTCTATTCTGAGGTAGTGATTTAAGCAATTTCTGCTTCAGTTGTTGACGTTTGTGTGTGAATTTCATATGTTAATGTGCAAATGTCTTCATATGTAAGCGAGTTGCTTTGTACTGTAAAATATCTTTCATGATCTCTATATATCATAAAATCTGAACAAAAAAAGGGGAAAAAAAAAATAGAAGAAAGGTGATGATGCAGCAAGAAATGTTGATTTTGAGGCTTATTGAAATTTCAAGCCCCATTTTGGTATTGCTCAAGAAGAAAAAGTTATCTCTTTCAGGGTTTTAATTAGGGCATGTGTGTGTGTGTACAGCAGAAAAAGTTCTGCAGTTGTAGTTGCTATTTAAAATAGATTCATGGGAGTCAAGGGAATGTTAGGAAGAATATATATATGTATAGATATGTATGGCCATTAGTGGGACATGGTGGACCTTCCCCTGGTTCCCTGTGCTTTCATTAATTTGTTATGGTCACTTTGCCAATGATTAGTTCAAGATGTTCACTCTATTTCTACATTGGCGTATTCTACAGAAGTTTTTTGTCATTACCTATCTAAAGGTGAAGTTCATGCACAAATTAACCTCTGGTTATGCATCATTGACTTCACAAGAATAACATAACTTTATTATCACCTATACAACAAATAACTTTTTGGTCTAGCATTTTTTCCGTTGCATCAAATCCATAGATAATGTTATATCACCTTAAGACTCAGAATGATATAAGATGAGCCAAGCTTGAAACTATTCAGGCTTGGTTCATTTACTTTTCAGCTTGATTTGGACTCGGCTTGGGTTCATGATGAGCTAGGAAAACCGAGCTCGGGCTCAGCTTGAGTTTGTTGGCGACTGTTGGTTGGTTCAGCTTGTTAGCTTGTGAAATACATTACTTTTAGTCTCTATTACATCGACTCTTCAAAAGTAGTGAAGTACTCGTGTCGGACACATATTCCTCGGACATGGGTATGGGATATGCGTCCGACATTTTTGATTGAACATGTACTTAAAAAGCATAGCCAATCATTCAATTACATCATATTATTACTTTAAAATGAGTTAAATGCCTATATTGAACATTATATTAGAAAGAAACATTAGTTTACTCTAGAAAATAAAATAATTATTAAAATGAATATTTAGCTGTGTCCGCGTGTTCTTCTGTTTGGAGATTTGATACGTCCGACTCATGGATACACACCCGTGTCCGACACTCGTACCCGGGTCCATGTAACATAGCTTTTAGTTTCTTGCTTTGTTTATTACTCTTTTATGCGCAGTAATTTTATGTTACTTTTTTTTATTAAATATATTGGTATGAAACTTTTTTAAAATTAGAGAAAACCTATTAGGCATGTATTCTCATATCAGTAATTTGGGGCCTAGTGGTATTTGTTATAGCTCCCAAAGTGGAAGATTGAGGGTTCAAGTCACCATAGGGGCAAAGTGGGTGCATATTATTTTGCCAGGAAGGCCCAGGATTAAAAAATAATAATAAAATAAATAAATAAATTAGGCATGTATTCATAAGCCAACACGAGTTGAGCTTATCAATACTTAAACATGGCTCTTTGAAAAATGAGTTCATAGTTCAGACTCAGGCTCGGCTTGTTTACCTAATGAGGAACCATGAGCTTAGCCTTTAATGAACCAATCCTGAACAATTTATAAACAGTTCAGTTTATTTGCAGCCCTTGCCACCATTTCTGGCATTTACAGGTGTTGTATTTCACCTTTTAGAAGGCAACTTGTTGGATGGCATCACCTGATTCACTGTTCTTATTACATAGATCTTGTTGTATTCATTTAAAAACTAGGAGGGTTGGCAGTTGAGATTGAGAACTTGATTTGACGATGTAGCATGAAATTCGGAATCATTGTTTGATTTTCCGTAATACAAAATGAATAAAAAAGAAAGAAAAAGTCCCTTGTACATGATAGATACCCCCAGGAATCATGCTGAAATGTAACAGTGAGAGCAACTGTTTACTAACCTGAATACTTAAGTTATCTCTGTAATTTCTGATGGTAGACACTGGCATGAGTGTTATGTCTTTTAGGTACAATGGAAAATACTGAGAATCTATAGGCACATTGGGTCAATTTAAAGACCCCCCTTTCTCCTCCCTCTCTTGCTCTCGCCGCCCCCCAACCCCCGCTCCAGGGATGGAATTTGTGGTGTCAACCTACACACAAAAAAAAAAAAAAAAAAAAAAAGAAAAAAGAAAAAAAGAAAAAGAAAAAAAGAAGGAACAAGTTTGTGGAGAATGACCCAGGATGTCCTCAGGGACTTCTGTTAGAGAAATAGTTATTCTCTCTTTATGCGAAATTTTGTACTTCCCTTCCCACCTGCTTTTCCCCCTATATGTTTGTTTCTATTGATCAGTGCTTTAGCTGAGGGATTAGCACCTCACCTTCTCTTCTGCAAGAAAGACAAAATCATACTTACCTCATTGGTTTATTTGTTGTATGGTCTGACTATCTCACGCCTATCTTAACCTAAATAAATCTTCAAAAAGAAGTCATTTATGCAATTACATAGAGAAGACCTTTATAAATTCATTTTCATAAAACTTTGGTTCTTTTTGCATATTTGATTGATCTTTTGACATATTTGAACAAAGTGGATGCCCTTAAACTTGAATCCTCATTCTTATTCTTGGCTGCTAAGTTTTTACCATTGCACCAAACTGTGGCCCCTAATTGTGGCTAATTATTGAGTCTTTCCAATTTTGAATCGACATACTTCACTAGTGTTTGGCATTCGCTTGCATGTATCTTGGCGCTATTTATTGAGTCTTTCCAAATTTCAACTCCTATTTTTAACTACCATTATTGTTTCCAGCATTTGCGTGCGTGTCACATGGCTCTTTTTATTTGTTTCTATTGCAGATGCCTAGAATGGAGGATATTCTAAACCTTCCGGTGCAGGATCCTCCTTGCCTGGAATTTTCTGCAGCTCATCTAAATTGGGTTAAAGTGGAAGGTGGTCGTCAAGGTGGTGATGATATCGCTTTAATTCCTTTTGCTAGGGTGGATAATTTTGTGAAAGGAGAGTCTACTAATGCAGAGTGCCCTGCTAGCTTTCGTGTTGAATCAAGAAGGAAGAGACCTGAAGGGAGCATCAGCAAACCAAGGGTCGATGGCTACCTTGAATATACACTGTATGTCCGTCCTTGTTATAATTATTATCACATCACACTCAGTGTTTGGAAGGCACCTTTAACCTGTTTTTTCAAATTAATTCGAGCACACCACATATAAGATGCGTCTTAGTGGCCCCCCCACTCCCTTGCCTTTTGAACACATCTTTTCTGCCTTTCTATGGGTTGTTTAACAATTAAAGGTTGTACGAATTGCGAGTGTTAGTTCATCTCCAATTTCAATGAAGTTCCTTTGTCTTAACTTGTCTTAAGCAGAACAACACAGGAAAGTAACACTTAGATATTTCAGTTATATTTTGAATTTTATAGATACTGGTGTTCTTATGGTCCCGAAGACTACCGGAACAGCGAGCCTGGTATTTGGAACAACTCAAAAATTAAACCTGCATCAGGTAAGGGAAGCAGGCCCGGGAGACGTCACATGATGAGAGGATGTCTTTGCCATTTTACTGTTAAACGCTTATACATCCGCCCCCTTCTCGCTCTTATAATCTACAACCAGCGAAACCATGTAGATAAAACAGGGGCTCCATGTCATGGAATACTTGACCAGGATGCCGTGGGAACAAGAGCTATGTATGCTCCCCGAATTTCTGAGGATCTACGCCAGAAAGTGATGTCTATGCTTTATGTTGGAATTTCTTTGGACAATATAATCCAGCATCACATGGAGGAGGTGCAGAAGCATGGAGGGCCCCACAACCGAGACGATTTTCTTACTAGGAATGATGTTCGTAACATGGAGAGACTTATTCATAACTCCTCTCATGAATTGCATCCAAATGATGGATGCAGTGTAAAGATGTGGGTGCAACGCCACCAAAAACATGTTTTCTTCTTCCAAGAAAATTCTGGTCCAGAACCATTTGTTTTAGGACTACAAACAGATTGGCAGCTGCAGCAGATGCTCCGCAATGGACAGAATGGTTCAGTAGCTTTTCATTCAGGATTTGGCTCAAAGAAATTTAAGGTTTTATCCTCTTTTCTCTTATGTTCTTCTTTCAATGCATGCCTATGTTTCATTTAGAACAATATTATTGTATCTCAAGTTTAGGACCAGGGAGTTACATCAGCATCTGGCATGATTGGATTTAGAAGTAATCTGAAATACCATAAAAATTGTAAAGGTAGCAGTAAAGACAAAAAGATAATAATAATAAAAAAGGACTAACAGTTCGTGAAAATGGGAAAAAACTGGAAGAAGTTGGAGAAGATATTTTCCTTTTCCTATATACGCATAATCGGGGACTGATAAAATTACCATTGGAACATTTTATTTTACTAAGAAAGAACTGGTTGGCTTGAAATGCCTACCTTCTATGAAGGAAATTCTTCTCAGTACTACTACGCCATGAAACCCATTGTTAGAAATGCTTGTCTGAAATAAAGGAAATAGGATTCTTATGCTTTTTTATGCAAGGGAAATGATCTGGAATTATTAAAACCTTTTGTGAAAGTTTTCAAACTGTTGAATTATCACATAAGAAAAACATATAAATAAGATGATCCGTGTCCTGCACAACTTTTCCACAGCTCTCCTTTTTCGACATTTTTTCCAATAAGTTGGTGAGATTTGCCAAAATCTTAGGAGGGAAAGAAAAATTTCGGATCCTTGTTCTTTTTCTCTTTACATCTTCAAAAGCAGTGCAACTGGTCTTTTAAGTTCTCAGCAAGTATGAAAAGCTGGAGGGCTTTCTACCATACTACGTCCATGCTGGTGTGCTGGATTCTGTTAGCTCTTCTACTTGGAAAATTTTTGCGTTGAAAATTTAGTTGGTCAAGCTTCGAGGAAGAATAAAATTCATTTGATTTTATGCCTTTGCTTCTATGCAGCTAGCCTGCTTTCATATTTCGTTCTTTTGGTTTATTGATGATTACTTAACAGCTTGCAATTCTGACTTTTGCCTTTTCCTTCCATGGACAGTATCCTCTGTGTACATTACTTGTTTTTGACTCATCCCAGAATGCGATACCGGTTGCCTGGGTCATTACTTCTTGCTGTGTCGGTCAAGTTATCAATAAATGGATGGTGTCACTTGTTGGGAGGATCCGAACCAAGGACCCCAGGTGGAGACCAAATGCCTTTTTGGTAGACGATCCTTCCCTTGGCACATCTATTATCAGGTTGGTTATCATTATGGTCCTTACAGTTTTTTTCCTTCCACACAACTGATTCAAATATTATGCTACCTACCTTTAGAGAGGCGTTCCAATGTCGGGTCCTACTATGCCTTTGGCATGTCCGCCGTGCTTGGATAAAAAGCCTTATAAAGAAGTGCTGCAACTTTGATGTGCAGCGAGAGATGTTTAAGCACTTAGGCCGGATTCTGTATTGCACAAGAAGCAGGCCAAACACTATAGATGCAGTTGAAGAATTCATGCAAATATATGTCGATCAACGTGCCTTCATGGATTATTTCAGAAATCAGTGGTTACCGAGGATAGGTATTTCTGTTCATTCTGACTTCTTATTCTCTGATAAACAAATATCTGCCCCTGCCACGTTGGGATAGCTTGTTCACTGTCGTAACTATCACTGTCCTGTTACTTTTTGTACCCTGTTACTTTTTTGTTTTCTTTGGGTAAATATTATTCTTTTTATTCAAAACATAATACAATGACCAAATTCCTTCCAAATGCTCTTCAAAAGTTGTGAATTGATGAAGTAAGGTAGAAATTGATCTTTACACGCTATTCTGTCATTCAGAAATGTGGGTGAATGGCATAAGGACTCTCCCTGTGGCAAGTCAAGAGCATTATGCTGCAATTGAGTTATATCACTTCAGGTTGAAATCCAAATTCTTTAACGAGCTACACACTAGCTCCCAACAAAGAGTTGATTGGTTGATACACATATTGACGACTGAATTTCACTCCTTATATTGGCTTGATCAATATGGAGTGGAGACTGGACACTTCAAAAATCCAATGGATGTGTCCTCAACCAACTCTTGGTATCAGGCTATTCACATCTCAGATGTCGATGTATTGTTAGATGAGGAAAATCTCCAGCTTGCAAAAGTCGTTTCTCAATCAGACAGAAGTTTGGCATATACAATTTGGAACCCTGGTTCAGAATTCTCGATCTGTGATTGTCCCTGGTCAAGGCTGGGGAATCTCTGTAAGCATGTTGTTAAGGTGGCAATCTTTTGTAAAAATCGTCAAGTTGCAAGGCCGTTATTAGCAGCTCAAGTTTATAGGCAGACCTTGCTTAACCTTCTGCAGAACTCCCCAGACGATCCTGTAGTTCTCGATCATGCCATTTTACATGCAACACGCCTGCAACAGGACATCAAAGGTTTGGAAGACTTGTCTAATAATGGGCTGCTCCAGCCTGTACCTCCTGAGACAAACTCTCAATTGGTAGATAATCTCCTGCTTTTCCCACAACTCCATTGATTGGGTCATTGAAGAGGATATACATTAATTTTTGGCTAAAGCCTGTCTGCTTGTATCTCCAAGCTTATCTCTGTGGCCCTGTGAGAAGAGTTTGTTCTGTGATCTGCAAGCAATCAGACCTGAAATGGGCTCAGAACTTACAAAAACATGTTTTAAAATTTCAAGATGTCTTCAAGAGAATTTTCCATTCCTATTCTTCGCATGTGGAGGTATTTCGTTCTTCTTTCTGTTTTCTGTTTCTAGTTTATTATGTTTCTGACATTTCTAAATTCATTAGTTGCTTCTATTAATCACCAAATATTTTATTAAGTAGATCTTATGCTCAGGTTAGTCCAGGTAACTGCATGAGTTGTGTGTAATGGATTATCCTTGAACAGCTAGTCTCAACTTTGGAAAAAAGGAGGATTGAGTTGGATAGATGAAAAGCTAATAGACCCTTGGGCTCATGATCTTGAGAAATCAAGTAATACTAGGACAGTCTTTAAATGACTCATTGTTTCAGCTTTTCGGTGCTTTGCACGATGGGCAAGGGCATTGCATCGGCACCCGGATGTAATGAAAAGAGGGTAATGCTATCATCAAGTTAACTTCTTATGAGATTGACAATCAGTTTCATTAGTCTATCATCACTGCTTTTATTTTGCTGTCAAAATCTGGCCAACATTTACTACTGTCGGTCTCAGCTTACTAGGAACCTCTTCTTGGCCAAGCTGCCATAGTTCTCTCAACCACCAGGTTTTCTGGACATTTTTCTTTTTCCTTTTTCTACTTCCTGTGGACATCGCCGCTACCCAAACTCCACCTCAGGAGAAATCCAAATTCTTGAACGCTCTACAAGCTAGTTCGAGGGAAAAAGTTGACTAATTAATTCAAGTTGACAATTCAATTTTACTCACGTTGGTTTGATAAATATGTAAAATTGTGTCTGCAGCAGTAAAAATTCTTGCCATCGAGCGTGAAAATGCAGTTACTGTCTGAGGACAGTCACTTTTTACATATTATATAGGTTTGTGTCCAGTCTACCCCCCTTGATTAAATACTTGATAATGGCTTCATAAATGTATTGGCTCGATGAACACATCATAGTAGAAAGTAGAAACTGGTTACTTTGAAAATCTGAGGGATGCATCCTTCTCAACAAATTCTGGGTATCTTTGGCTATGCAGATAAGCGAGGAACCTCAGTTTTGACCATGAGCATATGAACTATTTGCTGGTTACGAGTGAAGTCCTAAGAACGTGATATGCAGATGCAATTACTACAGAAAGTAAGAAAATTGCCTTTTTATTTATTCCATACTCTCTAGAGAACATCTGCTCTTACATTGTCATGTTTTACTTTCATTTTCACTTTGTCAATGTTAATCTATTGTAATTTGAAAAGAATTTAAAATGATAAATAAACAATCATTTGGCATTTTAATAAATTATTATATATAATTTTTCTTTTGATGAATCTTACTCAAATCTGTATATTTGAAAAGATTGTTCGACATTTTAATAAACTATTATATATAATTTTTTCTTAAATTTACTCAAACATGTAAATTTGAAAGTTCAATTTCCTTTATTTCATTTAAACTTTAATATATTAGTTTGAGATGAGCCTTCTTTTTCACTCTACCCATAAATAAATTTTAAGTTAAAATCTTATGATATGAAATTGTTCTTGTTATTTTGAGTATTAAATTGTGATGACTCCTCCTCAAATGACAGACTTGTGCGTATAAGTTACACGGAAGAAATAATTAGATCATTTCTTTACTTTGTGCTTCCTAGACATTCATAGAAGGTTTCTTTTTGCAAGTCAAGTGATCTTTCGACAACACACCTTGACTCAACAATGTCTAGATAGAGGCCATTATGTTGTACAAGGTCATTTAGGTTGAGTTGCTTTTAGTAGTTAGCTTACCACAAGAACCATATCTGAGACCCACTAGCTGATAGTTCCTATTTTGATACATATGATCAGCAAAAATGGCTATATGCATTGTACAAGCAAAGAAACAAAATGTAATGTAGAAGAAACTATAGTAAAAATAGAGTTAGACCCACACAAACCTAGCTCATTATCAACACTCAACCAACATTCATTCTCATGAATAGACTCATCTCTTTATTTACATTCCCTGTAACTGCAACCTAATATCTCTCTATACTATATTTTTTTATTCCATTTTATTAACTACTCAAAACATCAATAATAGTTCGAATTTAAATATGGAGAAGCTTTTTCCTTCCACCACCTCTTTTTGCTCTTATTGTCTATACAACTATTTTAACAGCCCTTGAATTCCATCACATGAGAATCATTTCTTTGACAGTCGCAAAATCTCTAATTGTTTGTTCTTTGCTGCTCAGTGTTCTTTGTGTTATGATGAATAAGGACAAGAAGATGAAGAATTAAAGTGCGTTGAATGGAATAATATCTCTCATTATGAAGTATGGTGGTGGAAGGAAAACAGTTTCTTGAAAGGATCAATATAAAGGCGGTGGTGGAGGAGATGTTTATGGAATGCCGGTGATTGGTGGCAATGGTCCCTCATATACTGGAGCAAGTGGTGGGGGACAATGAATTGGGGGTGGTGACTAGTTTTAAATTGGTTCTGGAGGAGGTGAAGGGGAAGGGGGTGGCAAGTCTTGGATCAGGGATGGTGCTGGTGGCAATTGTGCTTCACATGGTGGGAGAGATGGATGCAGAGGTTGATCTACATATGGAGGAAGTGGTGGAGATGGTGAATTTGGCGGGGGTGGTGAAGAAAAGACAGGTGATGGTGATGGTGATGGTGGTGGTGGTGAGCTATAGTGTGGAGTTGGTGAAGGGGGTGGTGGGGAACTTGGTGGAGGCAGTGGCGGATTGCGATTGTAGTAAGTTGGTGGTGGAGGCAAAGGTGTTGGTGAAGATAGCGGAGGCGGGGATGATGGAGTTGGTGATGGTGGCATAATTAGTGGCGGCGGCGATGTTGGTGGAGATGGAAGAGGAATTGATGGTGGAGGTGGAGGTGGAGGTGGAGGCGGCAGAGAAGGTGGGGGTGTTGGTGGGGATTGAATTGATGGTGGAGATGATGGAGGGGAACTGACAGGTGGCTGAAGCGACGTATTGCATCTAATATCATTACAATCAACTTGCTGAGACAAGAACATCTTACACTGCAATGTAGATCTTTGCATGGGCCTCCCTCGTAAGCAATCCTTCCTGTCATCAACACGGGGCAAATTCAGACACACCGGCGGCTCTGTTGTGAAGAAATTGTATTCATACATAAAATTCACCAAGTTGGGGGAGTGAACACACCTTCAACAAAACTGTCCGAGACAACATGTTATGAGCCACATTCAGTTGCTCCAAACTCACCATCGCTGCAACACTTTCGGGCAAGTATCTGATTGAAGCTTAAATAAAAAAACAGTGATGCTCTTCAGCATCCCCATCTCACTCGGCAAACATGACCGAAACCCGTTGTTCATGAGAACGATCTCATCCAATGTCCTCAACATGTTGCTTATACTCACTGGTAAGCATCCAAGAAATCTATTGTTCGCCATAACAGTAACAGATGCTTGTGAGCTTCCAATATTTTCCGGCAAGGCAAAGGCGAACCTGGTTGTTATTTATGAATACTGCATCAAGGTCTCCGATGAAGGTCTCATTGGGAAGCTTACCTTCAAACTCATTGTATCGAATATCCAGATACTTGAGCTCTGGCAATTGCAGCACAAACACTAGGAAACTTTTTTTTTTTTTTTTTTTTGGATGACGTCAGAACTCTTGCAATTACGGACTTGTAACTATCCGGTAAACCTCCAGCTCCACCCCGGCTTCATAGTGCGAGTAGCAGTTGAGTCAGAAACTTGCAGAGTTGGAGGAGAATTGAACCTACACCCAAGTGCTAGATCCGGATGTCTAGCACTTGGAGGCTCCCCTCCAACCAACTCTACTATGCTGCCGCTGGGGACAAAACTAGGAAACTTGCCAGCAAAGCGATTGTTGCTTGGGTCCGGCTCAAACAGCAGCATCAAGTTCAAGAAACTGAGAGGGAGTGTGCCACAACAGCGGTTTGAGTTTTATATGAAACAATGCCATATTATATAGTAGGCCAAATTCATCTGGGAGGTACCCAGCAATGTCACCATGGTTGAGATCAACGCGGGAGACATTCAAGCCGGTCATCAAGCGCAGGCGGAGACGCTACGTACATTGTGCATTAAAGAATGAAAAATGATAATTTATGTGGTATTCTATCTATATGACAATATTGCTTTTATTTTTGGGTTGAACTCAAATTTGAAAAATAAGACTTTTATTTTTAATTACTAGAACATTAGGGTGACGATGGGGAGCAACTCTATCGTTGTGACTACGAAGACATTTTTAGAAAAATCAAACTAAAAGTTTAGCTTATCTTGGTTTAATTTCAAATTAGATTACTCCCATACTTAAAAAATAATAATAAATAAATAAATAAAAAGTCTATTATAAAAATAAAAATAAAAATAAAAAAAAAATTACAAACAAAACTTAAAAAATAATAAATCTCCATAAGCATTAATAAAAAAAATAAATTAAGATTTAAAAAAATGAAGTTGAAAAGAAAAGGATATTCATAATTTAAAAAAGAGTACAGCTAACCGAACAAAAATCACCTAATGTGCACAGAAATTGGCATCAAATTTTTTGTTCCCGTTTCTTAAAATTTCTAATCCAAGTTTTTGCCCTTATCTTTATGGGCAGAAATCCTCTCCATGGCACCTCTTACCGGAGGAATTTTGGGGGAAATCACTTTTATGTCTTAGAGGAAATTTGAATTTCATTTTGTATAAATTCTTGTACAAATACGTACTTATGTATATACACTTGCTAAAGTAAATATCCTTTTCATTAAAAGGGCCATATCACCAATTTACCCCTCCAAGGATAACCTCAAGTGAGAGAGGTGCCTTGGAGACTATTTTTTCCCTATCTTTATTACATACCCCACTTATTCTTATTTTTATTAAGTACCCGCACTCCTCTCTCTCAAATTTTTTTAAATCTCTTTAAAAAATTCTCTCTTCTGCAAATTCCTTGGCCACCATCTTCTCAATTCATAAATTCGTATCATAACTGGTAACCTTTCAATTACTTATTCTTTTTCTGTTGTTTTCAATATAAGATCAGATTAACTCCACCATGATATAGGCTAATAGACCTATTTTGATGAAGTTTAGAGATTAGGATTTATGTGCAAGATTTTAGATAAAGAGAGAGATGGATAAATTTTTAAAGAGAAAAAATGATTACAGAGGAAGAAAATTTAGATAGAGAAAAAATGAAGAAAATTATTTTCATAGAGATAGAGAGGAGATGGGTAAGTTTTTAGATAGAAGAAAAGTTACATAATTTGAAAAAATGGAAAAGAGATATAATTCAAACCCAAATTTGAGAGAGTGAAGAGAATGTCGATAGATAGAGAGCTGGGTGAACAATTTGAGAGAGAGATTGGTGAATTGTAAAGGGAGAAAAATGAAGGGTATGAAAAGAAAATAAGACTGAACATAATGATCTTTATTATTTCCAGATTTTTTTTCTTTTTCTTTTTCTTTTCAAGGAGAGAAAAGGAGCTTTAAGTAGGTGAACAAGTCAAGTTCGGTGTTTGGGGATAAATGTTCCATGTTTTTATCATTATTCTTTAAAAAATATATAATATGTTTAAATAAGAAATAAATTAAATGCTCTGACACTCTCATTTATTTATTTATTTATTTTTCACTCTTTGTTTTGGGTTTATTACTCTTATATCATTAAACTTCAGCCAAAATTTCTCCGCCTCCCCCATCAAGTTTAGTTTAATTTGCTTTGACACTCTAAACGTCTAAATTACCCCCTTAACTTTATTTAATTCTTATGTCATTGTTGACATGTAGGGTAAAAAATGAAATGACAATATCATTAAAAATGAATTAATGGAGAGAACTTCAGTCCGGCTAGCCTCGTTCAGACCACTAAGAAGAAATTTTACATCTTAAGAGAGCAGATACAAGCGGAGCAACGTAAAACATCAGATCCACCAAATAAAAATAAAGGGTTGGTAGAAAAGAAGTCAACGCATAACCAGTTTCTCTCTCAATTACGTTCATTGTAATAACATCCAAAAAGAATCCAGATTCTACATATCCATCACATGGATTCATTCATTCACCCTGACAGAATCTGATAGCTTAACATTCACCATGGAATTCGCCGACGATGACCCGTTGCGGCGACGAAGGAAGATGGTCAAGAGACCCATTGTCTCGAGCTCGACTAAGATTGTTAAAATCGAGATTATACGTAGAATCGTTTTGGGTTCTGTAGAATTGGAATTGTAGAATCGGATGGTGAATTGTAAGATTCTACCAAATTGTGAAAAAATAATTGAAACTAACTTCTTAAACAATAAGATGTGTAAAATATAACCAAAATAAGATCAAAACACACCATATTACATATCCATGAGTTCACAAATCTCAAATGCTAATAATATTCTAAAGTCCGAATATAAATAAAAGTAAAAGAAAATATTCCAAAGTCTGAATATAAATAAAAGAGGATGTAACACAAAATAACATAGTCCACAAATCTCAAATCCTAACTCATCCCTCTCCAAAGTTAGAAACTAAAATTACATATCCATAAAGTCATCATTGAACCCTTCACCATCTTCCTCATTAGCTTCATCAATAGGATTTAATGGCTGCAAATCTTCATTATCATCAACTGCAAAATTTCCTCAAACTACAAAGCATAAAGAAAGAACAAAAATTAATATAATGTAATAATTTATACAATATTATAATAAAAGTTTAAAGTTTAAGTTCTTACGCGTCCTAGTCATCCTTGTTACTTCATCTTCTTCGTCGGAATCAAGGACACCCTAGAATTGATAAATTATCTACAAAAGGAAGCTATTAATATGCCTTGTTCAGATTACCATTACGCCGAGCAACAAGCTTGAATAAACAATTAATATGCCTTGTTCAAATTACCATGACACCCCTAGAATTTTGTAATGGTAATCTTAAAGTCTTAGCAATTATATATTCATCTACTGGTAATCTTAAAGTCTTAGCAATTATACAATTATATATTGTATTTAAATTTTAATCAAGTCAAATTTAGAAGAAAAACCAAATTTAAGAAATCTTAAATCAAAACAAGAAATTTGATTCCATAAGTCAAGATTTTGATAACTCTACAATTATAAACCTAGAGAAGAAGCTACACCAAATCTTGAATAATCAAGAAAAATATTCAGCTAGAGCTCAATTAGCCATAGTAAAAGCTCTAAAAAATAGTGATAAAAATTTAAGTGGTCAGGTAAACTTAAAACAAAAACTACAGAAATCGAAAAAGATAGTCAAAACTTTAAAAATTGATCCAAATCAACTCATTAGCCAAAACTATTTTTCCTATTCAAAGTAAAATTAAACCATTAATGCAAAAGATTATCAGAACATTATGAATAATTTCTAAGAACAAGTAGATAAAAGGTTACAATCTTAGAATAATTAAGCTACGAAGGGTTATAGAGATTAGAGAAAACTCTTGAAATTTCTTGATCAAGGAAGAAAATAAATATAGAACATACCTGGCCGAACCTGTAAGCTGCTGTATGGATCCGATCTGCTCGCTATGAGCCTCTGCACTGCCGCCTCCTCTCAGTCCTCACTCCTCTCAAAGTAGGGTTCCCGTTTCTAATTTTATGATAGAGTAGGGTTTTGTATTTTATAATTTATAGAATAAATAATTAAATATATAATTTGGTAAATAACTTTCTATATAATATTTGGGCCAGGCTTTGGCCCAAACAATTAAAAGAATAAAGGCCCAAAGACCAAATAGTATAAAGGCCCGCCCAAACACCCACTTTGGTAGAATCGTACGATTCTACGATTCTACTAACGATTCTACCCCCGATTCTACCAATTGGGCATTTCTGCTGTGATTTGAGTCAATTTTGAGATCTAAGTTGTAGAATCGTGCGATTCTACAATTCAGAATCGCGATTTTTGATAACCATGGCTCGACCACAGGCCTCCCTGCAACGTTAAGGACAGAAGGGAGAGTAGCACGGACACCGCGTGGAGCGACGTCGTCTGAGCATGTCCACCGAGAAGCTCAAGGGACTCTGGCGAAGAGTGGGTCTGGTCTGAACTGAACAACCGCTTGGAGTCGTGTTGAGGATGTATTTAAAGGCAAGGTCGACGCTGACGAGAAACAAGGACAGAACTGTGAGAGTGAACGTTAGGTGTTATAAAATAAGGATTGAATATGAGTTTAAAAGAACAAGAGAAAAAATAAAAATAAAAAAAATAGACACATGCAAACGGGATAAGGATTTATACGTGGTTCACTCTCACAAATAGGGTTACGTCAACGGGCGATGATGATTCGTATCACTATAAAGAAAAAGATTACAAACTGAAGAACATTTTAGTTCTTCCTCACAATAATCTATCTTTTCACACTACTCATCCACCAACAAAAAAGACTCACTCAATACTCAATAAATACCTCAAATAGTATATGGTTTACCCAAAGAGAAAAAAAACCTACCCAAATACAAACTCCAACTCTCTCTTGAAGATTGTACAAAAGAATTTTTTTACACACACAAAACCAATATACTCTCTTGATCCGAATATTATTTTACTCTTGGATGTTTCTTGGATGATCTCATTGCATAAGATTCATTAGATATATATAGGCAACAATGTGGGCTTTAATGAGGTGGCAATTTACTTGTTCTCCAAGAACCAAACAGATGTCATAAATTGTTGACTAACACCATAAAGAGTCTTCCTTTACCACAACGTGAGTAATAAAAATAACGCCATCATCAGCTCCAACACAAAACAAATTAATAAAGAATTTTAGTTAAGTTTAAGTCATACTCAAACTTAACCATTAGGTTCTCATTCTTCAACCCATGCATGTCTTGCGTATAAGGCTACAACTTGGGCTAGCCCAACCCAGCCTAGTCCCAACCCAACCTCAACCCGAATCGGGTTGGGTTGGACCAACCCGAATTGTACTCAACATGGGTTATGGTCATAACCCAGACCGAATATTTTCGGACAGGTTGGGTCAGGTTGACGACCGGGTTGAGTTTTTTTTTTTTTTTCCAAAAAAAAATTCTCAAATTTATATATATATAATATATTATTTTATATGTATTATATATATTTGATTATATTATTATAAAAAAATATATATTTTTAGGGCAAATCATTTCAGCCTCCCCTATCGCCTCCATCTCCATTCTCTCTGAACTCTCTCTCCAACTGCAAACTACAAAATCTACAAGAATCTAAAGTTCAAAACCCATATATTTCAGTTTTATCTATCTGTCTGCAAGAATCAAAAGTTCAAAACCCATATCGGCATATCATTTCAGATTGTTCAAAAAATCAAAACACAGATCTTTCAGTTTCCATCACCCGCTGTTCCAGTTCGGGTTCGTCGTTTGCAAGCTTCAGCCACTGTCTCTCAACTCTCAAGCTTGCCCCCCTCTTTCTGTGCAACTGCTAACTTGTATGTATGGGTTTTGTTTCAGTTTTATCTATCTCTCTGTGCAACTCTCAGGCTTCAACCACTGTCTCTCAACTCTCAAACCCATATATTTTAGTTTTATTTAACTTGTATGTATGAGCGGCGGCAGCGATGGCAGCAGAGGGGACGGCAAAGAGAGAGAGAGAAAGAAGAGAGAGGAGAGAGAAAGGAGAAAACAAAAATTGGGTTTCGGATTGGGTTCGGGTTGGCTCGAGCCTAACCCGAATATGTCTGGATTTTAATAAAACCCAACCCGAACATGAACCCGATTTGTGAATCTAAAGTCCAAATTTCAAAATTTCGGTTTGGGCTGGGTAAACCCGCCCAAGTTACAGCCCTACTTGTGTAGCCACAAGCATACCTCCAAGTTTGACATCTCCTTCAGCAACCTTCTCCAACAACCCACAAACCATCGGCTGGTAATGAAAAGTCATCTTCTCACCTTTGTGGATAATAAGACATCCTTGACTTTTTCTCACATCTCTATTGTGACCAACTACTTTCCTCTCACACATCTTAATGGTACTCGAATGTACTATCTCATTGCTACCAAGATTATTGCAAGTCAATATTACACTTGTCCTCATAGGTCTGCCTCCATATAAGGACTGCTGCAATTTCAGTTGCAATTTGAAAACGGATTTCATTCTTCCACCACGTTGTGTAGTCCCCTCACAACTCTTTTGAGAACTAGGATCGTAACTACTTTTTCTAACTTTTCCTTTGCCAAAACTTTGCTGAGTGAGTAGGGCCTGCATCTTAATGCGCCAAAGACTAAAACTAATCTTGCCATTAAATTTCTCAATCTCGTATTTTGTCGACATCTCAAAAAACTCCCAAAAGCTCTGATACCAGTTTGTTATGAAATAAGGATCGAATATGAGTTTATGAGAACAAGAGAAAAAATGAAAAAAAATAAAAATAGGCACACACAAACGAAATAAGGATTTATACCTGATTCACCCTCACAAATAGGGTTACGTCCACGGGCGATGATGATTCGTATCACTATAAAGAAGAAGATTACAAACTAAAAAACGTAATCTCTCTCCTCACGCCACTCACTCATCAACAAAAAAGACTCACTCAAGACTCAAGAAATAATCCAAATAATATATGGTTTACACAAAGAGAAAAAATCCACCCAAATACAAACTTCTCTCTTAAAGATTGTACACACATAAGAATTTTTTCACACACACAAAATTAATATATAAACTTTAACTCTCTTGAAGATTATACACACAAAAAAAAATTTCACACACACAAAACTAAGATATTATCTTGATTCGAATATTATCTTATTTATGAATGGTAAGAGATTCATTAGATATATATAGGCAACAAAGTGGACTTTAGTGTGGTGACAATTTGCTTGTTCTCCAACAACCAAACAGATGTCATAAATTGTTAACTGACCTTGGCATGCAATGAGCTGTACACAGCAATTGATTTGCTGACACATGATACAAACGTGGGCAAGAGGAATACAAATTCTTGTCCACCAACAGTGATCCAAGTTGGCAACTTATAAACAATTTGAGCCAATAAATGATGATGTGATTAACACATCATCTAACTGTGGGTAACAAGGAAACCGACGGCAACGAAAAAAGAAGACTGAATCAGCGACAACTGAACAGGTCACATACGAAGTATACTGAGATTCTGGCGCAGTTGAAGAAGAATCCAAAAAAAAAAAAAAGAAGTCCGTAACCAATAGGCCGTAGTTATTTAGGTATTTTATTTTATTAATTAAAAAAAAAATGTCAAAGTAAATTAAACTAAACCCAATAGGGTTGTGATAGTAATTTGCACAAACGTGTAGAATGTAGGTTAGAAAGTCGTGGATCATTCATTCGTTCAATTTCAATAACATAGTTAATGCATTTATAAATCGGTAACTAATGCATCCTGATCCTATATTTATGGAAAAGCCACGTCATGATCATTGCTTGTCAATCTTTCCATCTTGATTTAAATTTGACGATTGAATTTACATATCTTGTCGTGTCAGCTCATTATGATTTTATCACAACAAAACTGATGAAGTGACATCTGTCTTATCGCTGACGTGGACTTGCAAGGATTAGGATAGAAAAGGAAAATCTCAGTTTTATAAAGTAGGCGTGGCTGTGCCAAAGTGCTACTATTATTTTAATATATATTCCAGATATTTTCACGCGTATCTTAAGGGATATTTTGGTAAATACGGAAAGTGAAATCTGCCAACAAGGAAAAACCAGTGGGCAGCTTTCGTTGTCCATCAAGTCACCGCGTTTACAAGTCTCGGTAAAATGGAAGCTTCCAACCTATAAAAGCGGCTCTCATTCAAAAGCCTCCGTATCATCCCCATCTTTCTCTCTCTAAACCCGGATTCTCTCTCTCTAAGATACAGAGAATCGAAGGAGGCGAATTGGAGAAATCGTTCTCTATCCTCTTTCTCTCCCAGCAACTGCAAACTACAAAATTTTCAAAAACCTATATATTTCATCTTTCAGTTTCCATCGCCGGCTGTTCCAGTTCGGGTTCGCCGTTCGCAAGCTTCAGCCGCTGGCCCGCTGTCTCTCGACTCTCAAGCTTGCCCCCCTCTCTCTCTGCAACTGGTAACCTGTATGTATGGGTTTGTTTTAAATTTTTTTCTAAATCAACTAATCAAGGTCTGCAATTCTTGTTTTGCAAACTAAATCCTATTTGGTGAAATTTTTTATGATCTTTTTTATATAATTTTTTGTTTTACAATTTAAAGTAACAAAATTTGCATTGCATTTTCTACATTTTATTTCAGCAAAACAATTTTTTTTTTTTTTTTTTTAATTTTATTTCTATAACATTTTTTTTTTTTTTTGGTCTACTAAGAAAATTTGAATCTGGACATGAAAAAAAAAAAAAATCTGAATTGGATTAGAAATCTGCAGAGATTGAATCTGGAACAAATTTTATCAACATGCCAAGCTTTTTGAAGATGGAAATCTTTTCAGAACTAAAAAAAAAAATCATAACAAGAACTTTGACAAGCAAAAGGGTAAAACTCTAAAGTTACTTCTTGAAATTTAAAGTACTTACAAAAAGCATGCTTTTGAATGAATTCCATAGTGTTGGAAGGGGCTTGCCATGAACTACCTTACACTCTGCTTCCTCTAGTAGATTCTCAAATAGGATTAGTAAATTGGTGAAAAGAAGAGATATAGGGTACTGAGTGGTGAATTGTTCAGAAATAAATCAGTAATTTTTTTAATTAATTACCCAAATAGGATTTTCTATTCCTTAATCAGTCAATTGTCTAAAGAAACATTGGTAATTAACTAAAATTGAATTAAACAACAGTTGATTTTGGTTGATATATTTTGATTTAGTCCACCCCATTGAGAAATCCTGGATCCGCCACTAGTGAAGATTTATTTTTAATACTCTCTCTATATGTGTGATGCTATGAAAGTTATTAGGCAATTAAGATTTGTAGTTGAAAGTAGGGTCTGTTTGGTTGATGAGAAAGCCGGAACAGAATTGAGAAGGATAGTTTAGGTCTTTATTTGATTTATTATTTCTCATATTTCCTTCTCGGTGTTTTTTTTATTCCTATGGCTTCTCGAGAATCAAACGGGATATTGTGCTACATTTGGTACCCAAAAAAAAAAAAAAAAAGAGAAATTCAATCAAGTTAGATAGAGGGTTTAAGTCTTCCAAGAGAATTGTGGGTCTTATTTGCTAAGAAATTCTTTTAGCAGTTTAAGGAACTTTTTTTTCTTTCTCTCATTCCATTGAGGATAAAATGCAGTATTTTTATTTCTTTAGATTGCTATATACTTAGAAACTGTATTATTGTCATATTGTATGTGTTTGTGTGTTTGACTTGATTGAAATCTAGCATTTATCATGTCATAAGATGTTAATTTGTCACTGCGTGGTATAAATTCATTGTTCTGTTGATTTTTTTAATATATATATATATATATATATATATATATATATATAAATTCGTTGTTCTGTTGATTTTTTTTTTAATATATATACATTTATTAATATTTTGTTTACATCCTTATGTATCCCGAAACTGTATTTCTGTTTGTGTGTGTTCATCTCAATTTGAGTTTGTAAAATTCTGGTAAATTTAGTGTTTATCATGTTTTACTTACTTCTTTGGATGTTATCGTTGCAGTGTTAAAAGGAAATTGTAGAAAGCATTTATTCTCTCGTGTCACTTGAAGAAATTACATCCTTTTTGTTTGGATTAGTTAACATTCGATAGATAAAATAATTACGGCTAATGGTGTATTTGATTTAGTTCATAAGATAGTGAATAAGCTTCTAAATGTTATCTCATATTGTTGTGTTGAATAAGTGGAAATTTTTTATTCTTTCGATCCTGCAAATTCGAAAATAGGTTATTTTCGAATTTGAGGTATGATATAGAATTTTAGGAGTATTTCATATTTATGAATTTATACTGGGGTGATGGGCACTTAGGAAATACATTTGATGTTTGTGTCATAGAATCATAGTTTATGGTCCAACTACAATTGGCGCCTTGGATTTATAATAGAAATTTTGACTTGACATTATCTCTTTGCATAAGAAGTTTTATTAATAACACTAAGAGGCCCCGTTAAGATTTGATCTCTTTTTTCTTGTAAGAATGTGTCATGCATGATGATAAATGCTTGTAACTATCATATTGCTTTGTTAGTTCTTCTGATGGAGTTGGATGAGGCAATAAATTTGAATGTGTGGACCACGTAAGAGAAATTGCGGTAACCTTGTTACCCATGGACTTTCCAAGTATTAGCAAATTGAAGATGATTAATTTGACTTAGAAGAAGATGGGGGTTGAATGTATTTTGTTGGGTAGCGAAATTTGTTTCATTCTTATGTCATTCCTTTTTAAAGTTGTTGTGCCCTGCATGGGGATATTCCTAGCTGGTCTGTCCATCTTGGGCTGCAGGTATTCAATTGACCAACTAGACCTAGCCATCTAGGTAGGTTCTCCGTGTCCTTGTTCATTTGATGGGATTTTTGTCTGTGCAAGAGGTGGATTTGCAGGCACTAATAAAGATGCCTGTTTCTCTTTTGTTCTGTAAACCACGATACCTTAATTGAAATACTATGATTTATCTATTATTCGCCTTAGTTTTCCCAAGGTCAACTCAATCAAACTAAGCTTTGTCTGAACGTAAACCACGTGGAATGTTAGGTTATTGTTACATTAACGATGCCCTTGGCTGTAGTAGTGATGTAGGCACCAGAACGTCTTAGCTTCTCAATGTTCTAAAAGTTGGTTCCTTATGAAATTAAAGGTCTAAGATGCAGAAGCTGGAGCTATTGACCTGCTAAGCCAAAGTCCTTCTTCCCATGCATAATCCCCAACTCCTTACAATTCCAAAATCATCAGAAACCGTTTAAATCAAAATAAGAGTTACTGGAGACAAACTACAGTAATCTGAGGATGGATTTTGTCTCTGGGAACTAAAGGACTGGGTTTATGGAATGTCCTTACTTTCTGTCAAGCAGGCTATGAAGTTGTCACTTTCTCTGTCCTAAATCCAACCAGTTTAGATAAGAGTGTGTGAAAGTCAAATGAGCTAGAGTTTTTCTATTGAAGAGAAGCCCATGGAGTTTTCATGATAACAGAAGTTGTTTTGGGCAAGTCTCGGTTATTGAAGACTTGTTACAGAATCGCATATTGAGGTATGCTTGTCATTGATGGACAATCAACATAACTCATCCCTGCAACCTCTTGCACTGTTTCCCCTATATTTTCTTGTCACTTTTTAGAGCGCATTTGATTTTGTGATTTATTGCTTCTCCCATAGGTTGGGGCGTCCATTGGTGGTGTCCAATTTAGATGGATTTGGACTTCTTCAAGAATCAAGTGATCATTCAATGGTTACTATCCACAGCTGGAGGCTTTGGAGTTCCTCAGTGCTGCGTTGTAGTTATTATTTGGGATTCTTATAGATCTACTTGTTTGATGACTCCTTCTCTTGTTGCTGAATGGAGCTGTTCAACCCAAGTTGGATTATGTTGCTGATTTCAATTGGTCTGCGCAGTTTGCGAGAAAGCAACATTTATGGAGTTTGCCTGCTTGGGTGGGCAACTAAATAAATTTAAGTTTTAGAGCCCTTGCTAAACTTTTTCCAAAATGCAGGTGCTTCTCATAGCCAGCTGTTAGATAGTTTTAGTTTCATCGAGAAGATTTCAATGGTGGAGCTAGCAGTTGATCATTCTGTGGTGTTACACTTTGAGCCCGAAAACCTGCAACTCAAAACTAGTGAAGAGCATAACACACAGGTTGCTATGTCAGACTCTCAGCACGCTCTCAGAGAATTCATGTCAACAGAAGCGACATATCTTCCAAATGCCATTGGCATTGAATCGCTGGATAAAGGATGCATGCAGTATGGGTATTGTACTTGCTCACGTTCCTCCCAAGTTTAAAACAGGATCTTTATGATTCCTTTGTTAACATTATTTTCTTCATTTGACAGGTGTACTCATTATCGACGAAGGTGTCGCATTAGAGCTCCGTGTTGCAACGAGATTTTTGATTGTCGTCATTGTCATAATGAGGCAAAGGTGTGTTTATACTGATCTAATGTCTTTGTTTCTTATGTTCGTTTTTATATTATTTGGTTGTTGTAGGAAATAATTTATGGAGATTTGCCTAATAGTAGTAACTGTATGCACTTGCAAATAAAACTTCTGTTTAATGGAAATTGAAGCAATATTATTTGCTAATAAGTGATGGAAGATATATTGCATTTGAGATTATTAATTATAAGGCAATCAAATTGAAATATGAATGCCTAACCGAACTGTCAAATGACTATTAGCAATTGGATCCATGGCTTAGCTTGACTGGAGGCTTAAACACAACGTAGAATGCTAGTGTATAAGTGGGTTATTCATGTTTAGTCAAGACAAGGAAATAAAAATAAGTAACTAGTGTAATAGAAATCATCAACTATCTTGACATTAAAATATTAGGTTTTTCATGTTTTAGTCTAGATGAGGAAACAAAAATAAGTTCCTAGTTTTATAGAAATCATCAACTATCTTGACATTAAAATTTCAATTTTTTTTAATGGTTTTATCCAGCATTTGTTTTGCTGGAAAATCAATTGACCTAATACGTAGACTAGCCAGAGCATGCAAGCTTTGTTACATGGTTTTTATTAAATTATATGGTAGCAGATACATAAGCAAACCTGTTTTAGATTGGTACTCTACAAAAAAAATAATAATAAATAAATAAATAAATAGTCATGATTTGAAATTATTTATATGTTTAGAAAATGACTTGGGAAGTAATTGCATTTTTTTTTCCTGAATGAAAGTAATTGTAAATTAGCTATGATGAATTGTGAGTCTCCTGATTTTGATTATTGCTCATTTTGAAGTTGAGTATTATTGCATGTTATTATGAAGTTGTGGTTCTGTATTGCGATTTTTATGTTTCAGTGTTGCCTTGACATGTGGTGGTTATGAGGACTCTAAAATGTTACTTACATGTTTACATATTGATTTGCAGAACAATATAAATGTTGATCAGAAACTTAGACATGACATTCCACGCCATCAATTGCGACAGGTAAAAGCCCTTTCATGAATAACCAATATTCCCCTCCACCCATTGACTGCCTAGAGCTGGTTGCTTGATTTTTTTTCCCCTCATAAAGCTTGTTTAAGCATTTGTTTTAACTGTGGGAGTATTTCCCCCCTTTTCAGGTCATATGTTCACTCTGTGGTACTGAACAAGAGGTGAGTCTTGATTGGATTGTTGCTGCATTTCTATCTTTGTCATGTGGATAAGACTCTATAAACCTGAACAACATGTAGCTTCCTAGTGGGTGATTGGATTGATTGGTTTAGTTAGGATAGATGCTACAAAAATGAAGTTGGAACTGTACTGTTAGCTTTGGTAGTTTCTTTATCTTACGTAACTAAGTTCTCTGACATTATTTTACTGTGTCATGTTTGCTGCTGCAATCACACAGGTTCACCAAGTTTGTATCAACTGTGGTGTTTGTATGGGAAAATACTTCTGTGAGACTTGTAAGCTGTTCGATGACGATGTGAGTATATAGCACTTCTCCTATGCATATTGTTCTTTTGTTGTTACCACATGTTCTTAATCACGAGAGAGAGAGAGAGAGAGCAACCAGACATAGTTTGTATATCATCTCCAAACCTAATAAGCCTGTGTAGGCTTATATAAAGGATACAAGGTTAACTTAATAACACAAGGGCCTACCAACTATATGTAATTACATAATGACCCAACATCTATATATATATATATATATATATATAAACATTCTAACACCACACACCAATGTTTACCAGACAATATGAACTTTGACATTGATGTTGGTGTCTAAACTGGATTGGTGTCCTTGCTACATGTGCACACGCGTGAACATGCACAAAGTTGCATGTTGTTTAAGTTCTTTATGCCTTCAATTGTTAGTATTAGATGTATGCTGATCTCGTTATCTTGTTCTTCTATTTTGCAGACATCTAAAAGCCAGTACCATTGTGATGGGTGTGGTATTTGCAGGTATGTTCATCTCGCAATTTGATTTGCATTCCTTGGTGTTAGGAACAACTTGAGCATGCTGCTGTACACTTGATTAAATTTTATCAAGAATGTCTCTTTTACTTAAAAATCTGTGTGGCGATGTAGTGTTGTGTGTATATTCATGTCCAATATCAACTCACTTGTGTGTGCTTTCATTACAGAATTGGCGGGCGAGAGAACTTCTTTCATTGCTACAAATGTCGTAAGTCACGATTGTTGTTCTCTTTTTTCTTTTTTTTTTCTCTCTCTCTTTTCCTTGCTGCTGTAGCATCCTAATTGTGAGCTTGGACAGCGTGAATTGATATTGTGTTTAAAGTTTATCCTTACTGTATCCTGGGTATACGATACAGGATGCTGCTACTCAGTTCATTTGAAGAACTGCCATCCCTGCGTGGAAGGAGCAATGCACCATGACTGCCCTGTTTGTTTTGAGGTATGGCACTATCATCTCTCCTACTAACTTGATTTTCTTTCGTATAGTAGTTTCTATCTCTAATATTTTGGTGACACCTTGCACATTTTAACTGATTTGAACTCTGGTTGGTTGCAGTATCTATTTGAGTCGAGAAATGATGTTACTATTATGCCTTGCGGGCACACCATTCATAAGAACTGCTTGAAGGAGATGCAGGAACACTTCCAGTGAGTATTTAAAAAAAAAATGATTCTGATCCCTCTTATTTTGTTTTCCTTCTTACTTTATACCTTCTCTAGGATAGATTATCAATGCACCTGTTTGTTTGACAGATATGCTTGCCCTCTCTGCTCCAAGTCGGTCTGTGATATGTCAAAGGTATGGGAGAAATTTGACGTGGAGATTGCAGCTACACCCATGCCAGAACCTTACCAAAACAAAAAGGTCTCTCTCTCTCTCTCTCTCTCTCTCTCTCTCTCTCTCTCACACACACACACACACACACACTTGACCACATCTATGCATGTTCACACGCACACATGCAACAAAAACAAGTGCATGGTAACGGGTCACTGGTAGTCATCATGTTAGTACTTTATTTGGGTACATTTGAAATGTAAAATTTCCTCCTCAAAGTGGAGAAAAGTGATGGTAATATGATTACAGGTTTGCATCCTCTGCAATGACTGCGGAAATACATCAGAAGTGCGGTACCATGTTGTGGCTCAGAAATGTCCCACCTGTCGATCATACAACACCCGACAAACAAGATGAAGTTGCAGTGGCTGTTTAATTGGCAATGACGATGACGATAAATACACCATCATGCATCATGGAAATACCGTTCATTAATTCTTTCTGTCTTCCAAGCCTCATTAACGGGGAATTTGAAGGAGTGGCGTTGTGGTCCTGCATCTTGTGCTGTCGGAGGAATGCCCCTGCATCTTGTGCTGTCGGAGCTCTTGGACCGTCGATTCTCTTGCATCAATTAGTTCCTGTTTGTTCCTTCTGGTCTTTTTCATTGATGTTGTCTTCTAAGCTCCACCATGTAGGGTGGTTGTGCCAAATGTTGTCTCTCTCTTTATCATTTCTCATTTCTCATTTCTTTTATTCTTTTGTATCTTTGGAGCATATTACCTTTCTGAAAAAATAAAGAATGGTGCAAAGTTCTTTGCTGGTTTTTGTTGGATTTGGTGGATATGTGGTCCTTACATGGGACTATAATCTCTTGCTTTCTCTTTAACAAAAGGTGTATCCTAAAAGCTCTTGATGTGTGTTATGCATTTGATGTTTCAAATAAAGAGCAAGAAAATCAATTGCTTTGTAAGGTGGTGTTGTCTTGTCTTGTCTTGTCTTGCTTTGGACAAGAGCAGAAATTGCTTCTGAAAAGTGCTTACACATATTTTGAAAACAACGACAGTATCTGATATTTGAGTATATTGTTTTTGTTTTTGTTTTTATTTTTGTCTTGGTTGATGGAGGATTCTTTGATGTTACAGTTCTATGAATTTAACTAGGAAAAAAAAAAAGTTCTATGAATTTTTATAAATGCTTTCATATTGGGTGTCATATGATGGTACTCAATTTCATCTTAAATGAATTCAAGTGCTACTTCATATTGCAACTCTCACATTTCCCATTTGCAGGAGGTTATATAATTGAGCTAATTATGGCCATTGGTATAATTCTCGTGTTGAGATTTGAGATAATTTTACACCCACAAACGGAAATGATGTTGCATAATATGATGAGAGTCGGAGAGAAGGAATATTGAGATATATAGGATTTGTTTGGGAAAGTCAGAAAAAAATGCAAAATTGTGTTCAACTCAGTTAATAAAAAGTCTCTATGCTGAGCAGAATGGTTTTGAGATTAGTGGGAGCTTGTTGAATGGTTTGGTGGATATGTATGTAGAAGTGTGGGAAAATGGAGGAAGCACACAAGCTCTTAAATAGCTGCAAGTGTGAGATTTCTGTGGACTACCTTGGGTATGTGAAAACTGGTGACCTGATTGCTGCTAGGGACTTGTTTTAACCAGATGACACAGAGGAACTTGATATCGTGGACAACGATGATTTCCGGGTACGTGCAATACGGAGTTCACATTGAGAGTTTGGAGTTGTTCGGAGAAATGAGAGTTGGTAATGTGAAGCCTGACGAGGTTGCGCTCGTGACTGCACTTCCAGCCTGTGCTCACACACGAAAAATGACATGTTAGGCGGATCCATCCATGGCTTGGTTGTGAAATATGGAATGACCCTGGATGGGTTACTGGGGAATGCTTTGATAGACTTGTATGCGAAATGTGAACAGATAGATAAAGCTCACACAATCTTTCAGCAGTTGCACTACAAGTGTCGTCGTTTCGTGGAATACGTTGTTGGATGGGTACTGCAGAAGTGAAGTTATTGACAAGACAAGAAATTTCTTCAACAACATCCCTGGGAAGGATCTCGTCTCTTGGAACACAATGATCAATTGCCACGCAAGGTTTAATTGCTTCGAAGAACAGTTTGAGTTGTTCCGAAAGATGCAGAGTTCAAATGTGAAACCCAACAGCCTCACTTTGGTCAGTTTACTATCTTCTTGTGCATCTGTTGGAGCCCTAAATCATGAAAAAATAATCAAATTGAGTTGGATAACATGTTGGGAACTGCCCTAATTGACATGTATGGTAAGTGTGGAAACATCGAAAAGGCCTACGAGTAGTTTACTGAAATCACTCCGAAAATTGTGTTCTTGTGGACTGCTATTGTAGCAGCACACGCCATGGAGGGAGTAGCTCAAAAAGCAATTGATCTTTACTAGGAAATGGAAGAGACACGGATAAAGCCAGACAACATCACTTTCATAGCTCTGCTATCTGCTTGTAGTCATGGAGGTTTAGTCGACCAGGGCTACAAATATTTCAACAAAATGTCCAGTTTCTACAATTTTAGTCCTAAGATCCAGCACTACGGTTGCATGGTCAATCTCCTATGTCGAGCAGGTCACCTAGAAGAGGCAGTGAAGTTCATAGAAACCATGCCAATTGAACCAGAAATCTCCATATGGAGTGCCTTGATGCGAGGATGTGCAACACACAATAACATTGAACTAGCAGAACATGCATTCAACATCTTATACAGATAGACCCTCTAAATGACGCAGCTTATGTGCTTCTGTCAAACATATATGCAGAAGCTGCAAGATGGGATGATGTGAGCTGGGTGAGAACAAAGCTAGAGGAACTTGGAGTCAAGAAGAAACCAGGATGTAGTTTGATAGAACAAAATGGAGTTATTCATGAATTCGTATGCCGGGACTTTATGTACTCTCAATCTGCAGAAGTATACTCAATGTTGGATGAAGTGAAAGAAAGATCTCACAAAGAGGAAATACAAGAATAATCAACATCTTACCACAGCAAAATGCTAGCTGCTGCTTATGGGCTTATAAGCAGTCCTCCAAGAACTCCTATGCGAATTGTGAATAATCTTCGGATATGTGAGCTATGAAAACTATATCTCAAACTTACTATAGAGCGATTGTTCTAAGAGATAACTATAGATTCCATCGTTTTAGAGATGGATCCTGCTCATGTAACGATCATTGGTGAAACTAAATTTTGGTTTCTAAGGTTAACACGTCAAAAATGAAGATTTGTCAAATACTCATATCCAATATCACACGCATCTAAAAATGAAAAGTAGCAATAGAGAGATTGTATTGGGAAATTTATATTCAGTCAAAAACTTGTTTCGGTCGGAGGCTTATACATTAGCTCCTGCCAAAAAGGAGAACAGGTGAAAAAATGGGAGCCAGGCTGCCACCCTTTTCAGTTAAATACTAAAGCAATAGAAGATTTAACATTTATATATCAATGTCAAAATAATGAGAACAAAACTCGCCGATTGCAACCATTTTCCACTAAGACCATGAAAGATGAAACACCGATCAGCAGGAGGGACAACGTACACAATGATCGTTCCTGGCTGCTGACAGATGCACATAAACAGCTCTTGGTAAACAAATGATCAGGTGTGTCAACCTTTGTGATGGTTTCATTGATCATGGGCATAGTGGCTAAGGTAATGCAATCACAGCGCATTATGCAGCAATGAACATGCCAGATCCAAAAAGTTCCTCACAATCATTTGATATGGGAGAGTTTTTGGGAGAAACGTTGTTGATGTTTTTCTCCATTGCCTCCTCAATCAAAATCTCCTCTGCTCGGCAACTCCAACTGCAAAATGCTTTCTCCCCTCTGCAAGATATCAAATAACCCAGAGTCTCAAGCGCAAAATTCTAGTAATGAAGCATGGCAAGAACAAACAGAATATTACAGGTGTTGGTGGCAAACCTGTACATGTAGATATCTTCCCCATCCAGTTTCTTCTTGCAAGTGTAACAGAAGCTCAAGAAATCATTACAGGGATGTGGAACGGGTATTTCAGAGGGTTCAACAGCCATTGCCGGAGACATATCAATCTCATTTTCTTCTTTCTTGGAAAATTTGGCTAAGTCATAGTTGTCACATTCCAAAATGCAGTCACCAAAAATATGAATTGTTTTGGGGTTGGGACCATGTGTTCTGACACAAGTATAATCCTCAGAAAGCTCAATCTCACTTGCTGAGAGAGGCCCAATAAAACCAGAGCTAGTAATAGATTTCGGTATCGAATTAAGTCCTGTACCTGAAGAATTGCCTAAATTTTTGCTCCCTCCAATGGATTGTGGAGGTGAACTTACTGGGTTTTTTCCATTTTCAGAATGAAAATACCCAGAACTCGAATTGGTGCTATGGTTTGTTAAACTAGCTAGATGCGACCCAGTCCTTCCTGAATCCAACGAACAAGACCGGATTGCCCCAAAAGGCTCAGTTCCAAATGGGATTTCTCCAAGTTTAAACAGAACATCAGAATTGCCCATTTGAAGATTGGAATGTTTGATCTGGGTGAAAGGAAAAATTGCATAATTTTTAGGCAGTGACTTAGGTGCCTCAAAAGAATCTATACGGTTTCGAAAATTTGGGGTTTTAACACTCATCTGTGGACCAAAAAGAATATTCTTACTATCCGATGATCGGAGAACCTTCCCCAATTGTTGTTTGTCGTCATTAAGAGAATCTATAATGCTCAGGCCTACTTTGCTGCAATCCCAGCTCTTCTGATGCCCCTCGTGGACTGATCTTGGAGACCTGAAGGGACTGCCTAGATTTGTGAACACCCTAAAATCTAATGGAGAGGTGGGGCTTCTAGCTGAATCAAATTCTGAACCCTTAGGAAGGAGCCCTACAAAGAGACTAGGGGCATTGAAAAAAGAATTGGTTTTGTGTTTCTGCTCCAAAGCATCAGATTGGACATAGGACTCAGAAATTGCATCAGACACTAAGTGACCCATGTGTTGATCTTTCTGTTGTGATCTGGTCCTCTTCCTAAGCATTGTCCCCAAACCCCAATCCTTCTTGAAAACACCAAAAGCCCCTACCTATAACAAATCAATATTGTTTCACTAAATTATTACTAAATTCAAAATGTATTTATCAATAGACATGTCAAGACAAAGAACTAGTATTAGTCTACTACAAAAGAACATCAAATCCATGAGCTGAATGTAGACACAGCAATAATGACATCTACATCAAAAGGATTTATAAAACAACAAATACTAAAATTGAGATAAAAATTGCTTTCAGGGAAATGTTAATCGAAACAACTAAGCAAGAGAATCAATCCATGAACTTCAATGAGGCCAAGACAAAAGAACAGCCATCAAACATATACAGAACCAGATAGAAAACAATGGAATTTGCATTGACAAGATCATATCAACAATTCAAAACTACACCGAGCAATTGTATATTCAAAAACCCCCAAAAAACAAGAATAAGTTAGATAAAATCACTAAAAGATGTCTTAAATTGAAGATAAAAAGAGTCCAATCAAATGCAAACTGAAGAACATAATCTGTGGGGAAAATCTCAGAAGATCATTGCATCTTGACACTACAATTACATTTAAACTTGATTTTTGTACCAGTAAAATCAAAATCCCAAAATAAAATCCCCTTTGATCATCTATCTACACACAACAACAACAAATGCCTTCATAGATACATCAAATAATCCATAAATCAGACAAAACTACCGATACCCAGATGGGGAAACTCCATAGAAACATAGAAAAAGCTCTGAGAAGTGAGAGATTTTGCATAGAAAAAGTGATGATCGATAAATAAAAATTAAGAATGAACTTGATGAATCTTCCTCAGTTCCAAGAAACCCAAGAACAGAACTTGAAAAATGCATCATGGGTTCAAAGGAATAAGGAATGAAATCTAAGAGAAAGAGAGAGGAGTTGGGAAAGCTAAGCCCACCTGGTTTTCTCCTCTTGAAACTTCACATAGATGATGTTTAGAGAGTACCCCAAATGCAGTAAAATAGGAGTAATGTTTTGACAAGGCCCCTCTCTGTTTGTGTCAATGAAACTTGTGCAGTACTCCTCTCTCTCTCATCTCTCCTCTCTCTCCCTTACTTGCATCAAAATCAGAGAACCAGAGAGCTTCTCAAATACTCTACTCCCTCTCTCACACACTATCTCTCTCTAGAACTTTTTACGTATGGCATACGGTACTTGTCCACGTATATGCTCTACAACAAATAAATGTACCATGTTATATACCATTTTTCCCCAGGTGGACCTCAAAACATTTGTGGATAACTCTCTTTTAAATCCGATAGATTACACTGTGGGCAAATTTCTCTCCTAAAATTTAGTAATATGTACAGCGACGCTCTCGTAGTACGGAGTATTTTTTTCCTGATAAACTTAATTAAATTATGTAACATGACAATTTTATATAATAAATTATTATAATATAAAAATATTAGTCACTTTTTAATCCTTCAACAAACAATTTTATATAATAAATTATTATAATATACAAATAGTAGTCACTTTTTAATCCTTCAACAAACGAATTTAACCTTAGAAGACATTAATATCATGTGTAATTCATTCAAACTTCGTAAAAATATAATTTATCTTTTTTAATTAAAAAAATCTTAAAATAATAATAATATGCAATTTATATTGGTCTACTCTTGTGTAAATTGTCCAAATTTCATAAAAGTACAATTTATTATTTTTAATTAAAAATAATAATATTGTCACCTAATTTATATTAAAATAATTATAAATTAAAATTAAAATAAATTATACCGATAAGAGTTGATAATGTAATTTGGTCAAATAAAATTTAAAAGAAATTTTGATTGATTTTTGTAACCTTTTGTATGAAAATTTTCCGTTATAATTTTCATACAATTTTATTTTATGTGGGATAGATATTAACCTTAATATTTATATAATCACTATAAAAATATATACTGTATAATTTTTTTCGGTGCATGGTAATATGTATATATAATTATATGTATACAGGTTAAATACAATGTATTCTGTACTGAAATGTGTATGTACTATTGTACTACTTGTTATGTATATATTTATGTGGTGTGAAATAGTAATAGTTAAAAATAAATAAATAAATAAAAGGTCATTATAAAAAAGGGAATCCTTTCAGTTTCTGCTTTTCAATTTTTAGTTGATGATTCATCACAAGACGACAAAGCTGACCCCTTGTGGACCATTCTGTGACTGATAGGCTTTTATTGACTGGCTCACTTGACGTTCACGGTTCTTAACTATTGTTGGTTGTGGTTGAGTCAATTAACTGCGAGTTTATACGAACAAGGCGATGAGGGGGTTGTTGGAATGACCATTATGCCCTCAACATTTTATTTTTCTATTTTCTTCCTTTTGGAGGGTTATTTACGACCTCTTCCAAAATGGTGTTTCGAATGAGAAAATAATTCTTAATTTTATATCATAAAATTATTTTGATTGACTTACAAGTTTTAATTGGACATGTATGTACAATATAGGGTAAAGTAGAATGCCACCTTAAGTTTGTCAACAATCATATATAAATTGTCTATTTTTTTAATGACGATATATAAGTTATCTATTTTTTGAACAATGGCAATTTATGTAAGAATTGTCATTTAAACAAGATCTTGAATGGTTCAAAAAGAAGAAATTACCTCTTAATATTAATATCAGTTTTATTGTAAAATATTAAACATGTTGAAATGTCGAAATTACCCATGATTTAATATGAGCCACAAAATATTAGACATGATTTAATAATCCTATCTCAGTTCGAATCGGAGTCTCGTTAACACTGAAAATGGGACCACAAAGTAATTGAATGAAAGTGCTTTTGGCTGCAAAAATTTTGGTTCCCACACATCTTACACAATCTTCTTCTAGGTTTTAGTAGGACTAACTTGTCGCAGACTTGCGTGCATTAATTGTTGTTGATCAATTTTTCCACACTTGTGAAAGTTACCACATTGTAAAGTGGGGACGAAATGTGGCTTTCCAACAAATTTCTAAAGAAAGAGATCTCAATTAATTCTTTGAAATGTTGTTTTGGGATCAATTTGTTTTTATCTTAAGCCAAGTCTATGAAGTCACAAAGACTATAATTAGTTTTGTTATGAAAATACACACTCTTAATCCATCTCAACCTACATTAATATCCCCTATAAATTTCCAAACAATCATGTCTTTTACCGTGACCTCAATCTATCGTATTTTGAAAATTGTTGAATAGATAGAAGTTTTTTTTATTTAAATAAATAATAATAAATAAATAAAAAATCATCTAAGAAATGCCATTGCAGTGACCAAAGAAGAGATAGAGGTTTTTTTTTTTGTAATTGGAGAAATTATTACATGATACAGTAAATCACAATACGACACGTAAGCAAAATTGTGTTTACGGTGATACTTTTAATGGAGAAATGCCATTTTTTTCTTTTAGTTTATTAAGAGTGATACTTTTGCCATAGTTACAAATTGTGTTTATTGAATTTGACAAGTTAATTGCACATGACAATTTGCAGTTGTTATTAATATTAAATATTGGTTTAATTCTTTAATCTTTATCTTTTCAAGGGCATGGGCTAAGAAAAAGCCTAAGCCAGATCACAAATTGTTTATTAAATTTGACATTTTAATTACACATGACAATTTGCAGTTGTTATTAATATTAAAATTTTGGTTACTTTAACTTTTGAAGGGCATGGGCTCAGAAAAGGTTAAGCTAAATTAATGCTGAAATAATAGTATAACAATTAGCAGGTAAGTTTGTTCCTTGAAATGATTTCTTCCTCTGTTGCATTGACCCTTTTAAGGTGTATTTGATGAGGAAAGCAAAAGAAAAGTAGGACACTAACTTTAACATGTTCTTGGCTTTGTAGTTTATCACATTGTCACAACTATGCACAAATTGCTTATTTATTTATTTATTATTATTATTAAGTCACACATGTTTTATTCATGCCAAATTCATGGTACTATATATTATAGAACAAATCTCAGCTCATTCTTTTTCTATGAGATATGTCAGCTTTAGTAACTTGACAATGGCAACCTTCCGTATTTTCATGACTTGGAAATTCTTATTCAATTTGGTCGCGCTCTTGTTATCATTCGATCATGTGATTGACATTGATCAAAAGGTGATAAAAGTTTTGATGAGAATGTAAGTCTGACGGAGAAAATTGTGTGAGGAGAGGGTGATAGTATAATTTTTTAGTAATTTCAGTGAAAGGTTGTAGTGTAATTTTATAGGTATATATATCAAAATAAAAAAAATAATAATAATAATTCAATGGGGGCTTTTTTAAACTAAGTAATGTAGCAAAAACAGGACGTGAAAAAACTTATCGCAACACAATTAATGTCATAACGGCATTAAAATTGCATGTGAAATGTCATAAATACCCTCTTTTATAGTAATTCTTAATCAAAAGAGACCATATAACCATTACTAATAACCAAAAAAATAGTAATAATAATACAATTTTCACTCTCTTTCTCCACCCACCGACGTCCACCACCACCATCTTCTTCCACTGTTCACCTCCACCACCCACGGTTTGAACCAGATTCGTGTGCATTCTTAGTGTTATGGGTTAGTCTTTTTTTTTTCTTTGAAAAATAAAAAAATAAATCCAACTAACTTTAGGGGTCCTAACCATATTTCACTAGAACAAGAACCTCCCATCAAATACCAACAAGGACATGAACCAAGTAAGACTATATCCTCTTTAGAAAGTATTATATGGTCTGATTTTGGATTTTTTTCTAGTTCATTAGTTGACACGCAAATAAATTGTTAATACTTTATGTCAATTTTATTCAATTTTTTATTTACTTGTGAGTTAGTGATTAAACCAAACTAATGGTCCAGAGGAAATAATTTCTCATATCCGCTTTTCAAACGAGAAAAGGTTGATGATGGTACCAGTTTTTAATAGGTTAAATGTTGGTAAAAAAAATAAAAATAAAAAAATCACCTCCTCAAGCATGTTAGAAATTTTTGGAGGGTATTATGGACACTTAACATTCAGGCCATAAAATCCAATCCTTCCAAATCGCCGAGTTTCCCATCTTATTGACTAGATTGTGGCAGGCCTCAACTCAAGTTAAGTACGGTCAAACCTACGCCTCTCTAATTTACAGTATTTACTACTTACGGGATACACAACTCTTTTTAACGTCGTCAATCACCGTTATCTATATAATTTGGCAGTCACTTTCACTTGCCATGTCACCACTGTTAGTTAACCCAACCAGAGTTAAAACTCAACCCAACATCATCATTCTACTCCCCCCCTATCTCTCTCTCTCTCTACTATCTCTGTATATATCTCATATATATATATATATATATATATATATATATATCACTTCTTTGGCTTTTTTTCACTTTTTGGTACTGTACTTTTTCTTGTCGTTTTCAGTGACTCAGCTTTTTCATGATTTAAGCGACAGAGGATTGAACGCCACGTGTAAATTCACTTCGCAAATCCCCGCGCGATCGGACGGCCCTGTGCCAAAGATTCCCCCACTGTGGACCGCTCATCGAGCGGTTCATTTACCTTCTCCGTACTATGAATTTTAACGCCAAGGCTAGACTTGTAGGACCACCACACGTGTGGACATTCACGTGACTCTTAATTTTGGAGTGGATTAACTTCATTAAATAAATATAACTGCTATTTTTACTCCTCATTTTCCTTCTCAACCTCCAAACTCAATTTGAGTACTATGTTTTGTGGATTAAGTTCATTAAATAAATATAAATGCTATTTTTACCCCCCACATTTTGCTTCTCACCATCCAAACTCAATTTAAGGGAATAAAATATCATTCTTAATTAAAACTGAGTTTAAATTCCCTTGCAGTGGTTTTTACAAAAAAAAAAATTTAAAAACTATGTAATACATATATAGAGTTGAAGATATGCTCAGGGGGCACTTGCCCCAACCGTTAAATATATATGATAAAAAAATTTAAAAATTACACGTAAAATACGGTACCTAAAATTATTAGTATTTAAAATTATTTATTAATTTTTTAGTTTTTTTTCTCTTTTATTCTTTAAATTCCTTTTTTTTTTAAAAAAATTAAAATTACCTTCTAAAGAAGGTGTTAGATTATGAAGTATTTTAAAAGACTCAAAAAAATAAAATAAGAATTAGAATTCCACTAAATTAG